CAAAACCACAAATATATGGAGCACTGGAGGAACCCAGCAACCCCATCAGGGTAGTGCCCAGGACACATTGTCCATCAGATCCCTCATCAGACAAACCAGAGGGAGCGCAGGATTGGACATCTGCGCCTCCGCCAGAGCAGTACTAACTCCAGAGATGGGAGTTCAAATCATTCCCTCAGGGGTAAAAGGACCTCTTCCCAAAGGAACAGTAGGCTTATTATTGGGACGCAGCTCTTCTCCTCTAAAAGGACTTATGATAAGTCCTGGGGTAATTGATCCCGATTATGAAGGTGAAATAAAAATTATAGCCAGTTCTCCAAAGGGTATATCAGTAATTTCACCAGGAGATAGAATAGCACAGTTACTAATAATACCCAGCCTACATGATAAATTTTCCAGTCGTGCTGTAGAAAGAGGTTCCAAGGGATTAGGCTCCACAGGTGTAGATTGGGCTATGCTTTCTTTAAATTTACGATTCTCGCCCCATGCTAAAACTAAATATTCAAGGACATGAATTTAATGGGCTACTGGATACAGGCGCAGACCTTAGCATCATCTCTCGTCAAGAATGGCCAAAACATTGGCCATTACAACAAGCCACTCAAACACTTCGAGGCCTAGGAGTGGCGACTAATCCCCATAGAAGTGCAATGGTATTAGATTGGAAGGATCCTGAAGGATGTGAAGGAACTATACAGCCATATGTATTGGATCATCTTCCTGTAAATTTATGGGGACGAGATGTCCTAGATCAATTAGGTTTGACATTAACAAATAACATCAATCAAAATGCACCCACTATTATGGCTAGACAAGGTTTTAGGAAAGGAAAAAGATTAGAAAAACAAGAACAAGGTATAGCAGCACCAATACAAATAGATCAAGGAACAGACAGACATGGGTTGGATTTTCAGAAAGGGCCACTGAGACAATAAAAATTACTTGGAAATCAGAAAGACCAGTGTGGGTTCCTCAGTGGCCCCTGACTAAAGAAAAGATACAAGCAGCCCATGACCTGGTCAAACAACAATTAGCGGAAGGACATATACAACCTTCTGTATCTCCCCATAATATTCCTATTTTTGTCATCAAAAAGAAATCTGGTAAATGGAGATTACTGCAAGATTTAAGAGCCATTAATAATGAAATGGTTATTATGGGACCTGCTCAATCGGGGATTCCTCAATTGTCTGCTTTCCCAAAAACCTGGTATGTTTTAGTTATAGATATTAAAGATTGTTTTTTTTTTTCAATTCCAGTTCATCCTGAGGATAGTCCACGTTTTGCATTTACTATCCCTGCACTGAATCATGAAGGTCCTGAGATATGAATGGAAAGTACTCCCTCAAGGGATGGCTAACAGCCCAACTATGTGTCAAATTTATGTTAACAAAGTAATCCAGCCACTTAGAAATCAAAATCCTGAACTACAAATATTTCACTTTATGGATGATGTATTATTAGCACACAAAGATAAAAACCCATTGCTAGAATGTTATGCCACACTTACAAACTTATTAAAAAATTATAATCTAGAGGTAGCAATAAAGTACAATTAAATTTTCCAATTAATTATTTAGGAGTTCTATTATCCTCAACCATGGTCCGTCCACCAAAAATTCAAATACGAGTAGATCAACTCAAATCACTTAATGACTTTCAAAAGTTATTAGGAGACATAAATTGGATAAGGCCTTATCTAGGTATACCAACAGGAGAGTTGGGACCTTTATTTGATATCCTAAAAGGTCCATCAGATCCAAATTCACCCCGAATGTTAACGCCTGAATCAAGAAAGGCATTAAAAATCATTGAAACATATATGGAAAATATGCATTTGGATAGAATTGATATAAGTTTGCCTTTATTATTTATTGTACTACCAACAAAAAATATTCCTACAGGAGTATTTTGGCAAGAAGTTCCATTATTATGGATACATTTATCTTATTCTCCTAACACTATTCTTACTAGGTATCCTGAGGCTGTAGGACAATTAATACTCAAAGGAATAAAAGCAGCAAAGGGAGTGTTTGGAATTTCTCCCAATAAAATTATTACTCCATATACTATGGATCAAATTGATGAGTTAGCTAATGAGTTAAATACTTGGGCAATAATCATGTGCAAATCTAATGTTTCATTTGATAACCACTTACCATCTAATCCTTTATTGTCTTTTTGGTCATTGCATCCTGTAATTTTTCCAAAAATGACAAGAAAAAACACCTATCATGAATGCTCCAAATATATTCACTGATGGGTCAAATAATGGTACAGCAGCAATAGTTACACCTGATCAAACTTTACATTTTTAGTACCCAAACAATCAGCTCAAAAGGTAGAGCTTAATGCAGTATTACAAGCTTTTGTGATGTTTAAAGATGCTGTATTTAATTTATTTTCCGATAGTCAGTATATAGTTAATGCTATAGTATCCCTTGAAGATGCTGGTAGGATTTCCCCTTCCTCTACTGTTTTCTCTTTGCTTTCCACTATACAAAGTCTAATCTGGGACAGAAAAGATCCATTCTTTATAAGACATATCAGGGCACATACAGGATTGCCTGGCGCCCTTAGTTTGGGCAGTGATTTAGCAGATAAAACTACACATGACATACATATTTTCTCTACACTAGAAGAAGCTACAAATTTTCATAAAAAGTTCCATGTTAATGCTAATACTTTACAAAAGTGTTTTAAAATAACTAAGGAACAAGTTAGACAAATAATAAAACAATGTCAAAATTGTGTGACCTTTTTACCACAAGTTAATCTTGGAGTCAATCCTAGAGGATTGATACCTAACCATATTTGGCAGATGGACGTCACACACTTGCCAGAATTTGGAAAATTAAAATATTTGCATGTTACAGTTGATACTTCTTCCGGATTTTTGATGGGCTCCCTTCATTCCGGAGAAAAAACTAAAGATGTTATAGCTCATTGCTTACAAAATTTTGCCACTGTGGGCGTTCCAAAACAGTTAAAAACAGATAATGCCCCTGGTTATACTTCTACCTCTTTTAAACAATTTTGCTCAACATTTGGCATTACTCATATAACAGGAATCCCATACAATCCACAGGGACAAGGCATAGTTGAAAGAGCTCATCAAACAATTAAAATGTACTTATTAAAGCAAAAAGAAGGAATTGGGAAGGGGTATATATTCCCCAAAGATAAACTTAAAATAACCCTTTTTACTCTAAACTTTTAAATTTGGATTCATCAGGACTTAGTGCTGCGGAAAGGCATATGTGTCCAAAAAATGTACATAAGCCCAAAGTACTTTGGAAGGATATTCTAACAGGACAATGGAAAGGGGGTGAGCAGAGTTTAGCAAGAATCAAAGCAAAATGATAAACCTAGAGAGGCCAGTCTTGCTTTCTATCTCAGTCTCATTATTCTGCAGTTTTCATTTTGGTTCTAGCCAGTTAGACTAGTAATTCAATTTTCAACCAATGGTAAGCCAAACCACACAAGGCTTGATAAAATGCTTCCAGGATATTTTAAAAAATGGGACACTACTATGCATTTGTTATAGACTGGTTATTCGACTTAAAAAGAAACCTGTAGCACTATGCAAACCATATCAAACTGTAGTAGCCTAAATTCTGTTGGCAAGAGAATGGCGGGTCAGTAAGAACTTACAATGACATGAAAGCTGTATAGTGTATTTTTGACACTTATGTTTTTAAAGTATGCAAAAAATCATGGGGATTATTTTATTCATTTTTTAAATTATTAAAAAAAGAAGTCTCAAAGCAAAGTTTAGGATTTTTCTTGTGTTTATAATTTGAAAAAAGTCTTAAAATTGAATGAAACCAATGGAAAGGTAAAGTTTGGATTTTACTTTAGAGAAACACATTTCATTTTTAAAAGCCATAGTTTGCTTCATACCAAGAATGAAAAAATTTCATTACACTTAGCTGATAGTTTTGTACAGCAAGGTTTAAAAATAATTTACATTAAATGGCAAGTATGAGTAGGATCGATAGCTCTTAATCAGAAACGAAGCTATTTTTCTTGGTAGTCTAGCCTATCTCAGATGTTCATAGCATACATTTTCTTTTTAGGAAGTTTGTCTTCAAATAGTGCGTTAAAACCACTAATGCCTCTAAGTCATAGCCACATCAAGAAAGCTATGTCTAATAAATATATAAGTACAGTGTCAATACAAACCTTGCAAAATAAATAAATCTACCTCAAACACTAACTCAGTCTGCTTTTGCTTTTAGAAAATGGTTAGCTTTCTTGTTAAGACACAATGACTCAGTAGATATTAAAATTATACATCATCCTAAATTCATTTTGTGAAAACCAAAAATGGAATAATCTGTGAGTATATGAGCAATAACCTTTAAAAAAATATTTCTACATGTATAGAGAAATCTTGAAGAAGAGTGCACTATAGCACAACAACATAGGAACTAAGCTGAGTTACTTTTAATGAATCTTATGTTATAGGACATATTTACATTTGCAATGCCCCAAAGCTTCAACTTCTCGGTCATAAAACGCATGGCTATACTAGGTTTCTTGCTTTCAGACCTCTGTTCCCAGTTCTCTAACTTGGGTTGGCACACTCTGGCCCTTGGGCCAAAGCCATCCTGCCACCTTTTTTTGTATGGCCCTTGAGCTAAGAATAGTTTTTAATTTGTATAAATGGTTGAAAAAAATCAAAAGAATATTTGTGATATATGAAAATTATATGAAATTCCAATTTCAATGTTCATAAATAAAGTTTTATTGGAATGCAGCCATGCTTATTCATGTACTTATTTGTCTGTGGCTGCTTTTACACTACAGTGACAGAACAGAGGCCATGTAACCCTCAACCCTTAAAATATTTATTATGTGGCCCTTACTGACAGTTTTCTGGCCCTTGCTCAATTATTGCAAGCCTAATAATGGTTTTCCCAACTGCCAACATTTCTAAAAGAGCAATTCCCTGGGCTTCTTTGCTTCATTCGTCAGTAAATTGGTTTGTAGCTTCCAGCCCCGTGCCATCTTGTCCTCATCATGGACCTCACATCATGTGTGAAGAAGGCTGCAGTTCATAAATCATCAATTTCCAGTTTTAAGTTTAATGAAAATAAATTATATTTCTTCCACCATGTTCATTCTTGGCTTTGACTTCTTGCTGAGAGATCTTCACCTGTAATGAGGTATACATGGGTTTATTAGCATATTGAAAATGAAGATGCAAAAACATAACCTAACAAGTGTTCATAGTTGTTTAGCCAATAGAAACCTACAGCTCTGGTGGCTGAGTTTGGGGGAGAGTCTGTTTCCTATGAACTCAAATGATTGGGGGAAAGTGAGGGACTGGGGATTGACTCAGGGGTGCTTTACCATTGAGCTATATCCCTAGTCCTTTTATTTTTAATTTTTAAAATTTTTGAGACAGGGTCTTGGTAAATTCTAAGGCTGTCCTTAAACTTGCAATCCTCCCACCTCTGCCTTCCTAGTTATTGGGATTAAAGGCATGTACCACCAAGCTCAGCTGATGTTCCTAGGAAGCAAAACATTAGGCATTTGTGGCCTGGAACACCATGTTCTTTAGGGGAAAAAAACAAAACTTTTTAACTCACATTGTTCAACTTTTAAGGAAAGGTAGAATTCTTTCAAATGTGTGTCTGTTATTTGAGAGGAGTAAGATGAATATACTTCTTTCGAAGTTCTTAAATGATGGTTATTGAAACTTTAGATGTGATTGTTTAGAACAAATGACATGAAATATGTGACTAAGAAAGTGGCAGAAACACCAAACATTTTCTTATGAGCCTATATACAGAAAGAGCCCCACCATTTTTTTTTTTTTTTTTTTTACAAGTAGTCTTTCCTGGGAACATCATAAAGGAGGTATATGGGATGTAAATTCTCATTGTTGCACCTATTGCTGTTTATAAAGATAGCTTCCCCAACTTTAAGCAAAGCTATGAAGTCAACTAAATGATTCTAAATGTCTGCTTGCTGCAAGAAAATTGGATCCAGAGGCAGTCATCTAAATCACTATCACTCTCTTCCCCTCTCCTAGAATATAAACAGTTATGTTCATGTGGTGTGCAAATTTCTAGTAGTTGTATTCTAATGTACATGGTGCAGTCTTAGAGTACACAGAGGGCTTCTTAAGTGTAATAGTACATTTATGACAGATTTACCAGCCTTGGTGTAATTTCACTGTCATGGGAATTAGATGTATGTGACATTATCACTTCTGTACTTTACTAATGTTGATAGAAACAACATTTTGAATTTTGATTACTGCCCTTATGGTAGGCTCACAGACTCACTACTGTGGTTAGTCATTTCTAAAAGTTTGAGAGACTCAACATTGGTGCCTAGTCCTAAATTCACTTGGCCCTTGGGGGAGGGACTAATTGCTTCAGCAACATTGGGGCATAAAAGAAAGTGAATCTGGAACTTTAAAATTTGAGATACCAGATATTTTTCAAGAGAAAAAGTACTGAACCTCAGAGATTATCTGACACTGTGATGTGAATTTGCTGCCATAGTTGTGGGATTTCTGAGTGTTTATATACAAACCTCAACAACCCAGATCTCTTGGAATAGATGGATATGCAGATATTTTGGTGGGGGCCATATCCTGTATTTAGCCTTGCTTATTATTATTTTTTTTGGTATTGGGAATTGAACGCAAGGGCACTTAACCACTGAGCCATATCCCTAGCCCTATTTTGTATTATATTTAGAGACAGGGTCTCACTGAGTTGCTTAGTGCCTCACTAAGTAGTTGAGGCTGGCTCTGAACTAGCAATCCTACTGTCTCAGCCTCACAAGCCACTGGGATTACAGGTATGTGCCACCATGCCTGGCTATCCTTGCTTATTATTTTGAAAGAGCCTTACAAGTGTAGTCTGGGACACCAGTTATTTTGAAAGATGCTCCTCAAATATAGAAACAGGATCTTAATGCATTGGGTTTTCTTTTGAGCTGTTATGAATCCAGTATGGTTCTATCAGAATATATCAGTGAATTCTTTAAAGTGTGAGCAATTTTACAGTTTGATGTGAGAAATTTGGGAGTGTGGTAAAAACAGTGAAGCTCTATAGTATAAGCATTAAAGTCTTCATGATGCTGTTGGTCTCCTGTGAATTTTAAGTCTTAGAACTAAACAGATGTAATGATCCCTTGAGTTCATGAAGAAACTAAGTGAAGCTGGGTGGGTGGTGTGTGCCTATAATCTCAGTTACTCAGGAGGATGAGGCAGAAACATCACTTGAGCCTAGGAATTTGAGGTAAGCCTGGGCAACATAGACCAGTCTCAAGAAAAGCCCTATGTGAAAGAAAGAAACTTATGTTTGTTTTCCTCACATGGTTTCATTCAGGGTTGATGTGAATGATCTACCTTAAGACAGAATGAGATTTACTTTGTATATGAATACTAAGCAGTGGGCTGGCAACTGACACTCTAAATTTGTTGCATCTTAAAAATGGAGGCTGTTAAGTTATTTTGCTTTCTTTTTAATCATTACATCCTGGATATCAGGGATTTTTTTTTTGTTGTTGTTTGTTTGTTTGGTTGGTTTTTGTTTCTTTAATTGAGGCAGAAAGAGATGAAGTTATTGAGGCTAAAACAAAGCGAAATTAGAAAAACATAAAATGCAGAATCCAAAGGAATAAAAAGCTGAATGATCCAAAAAGCCCTTGGAGAATGTTCATGTGAGTTTTTAATTATCAAGAGACTTCTATGATGAAATAAGTCCACTGTGGCATTTGGGGCAAGTTGATTGCCTTCTTGGGGCCTCTGCTTAGTTATCTACAAAATAAGGAGGCCTAAAAGTTTAAAAGCTCAAGTGTTACTTATGTCTTCAGAGCTCTTGCCTTATCTTTTTTTTTCATATATATATATATATATATATATATTTTAAAGTTGTAGTTTTATTAAAATAAAATAGGCGAGCACTTTACCGCTGAGCTACAACCTAGCCCGCCCTTGCCTTATCTTAAGGCACCATTCTACCTGTCTTTGGGGGACATTGTCTGGGAAAAGACAGCTACCCTACTAACTATGCTTCACCAAGTAGCTTCAGTGGAGCCAGTTTCAGAGTGGTGTGATGACAGTGTACCTGGGTAAAACACGCTGCCCTCCATCACTGTCGATAATCCATGGTATCACTGGAGAACAAGCCACCCACAGGTTTCTCCTCCTTGTTTTGGACATTTTCTGAGACTGTGAGCTGAGGAGGTGATAGGAGTCCTCGGGGCTGCTTAGTTGACTTGGTGAGCTTCTTAAGTTCACTTGCAAAAGAGATGCCCTTTCTTTTGTCTTCTCTGGATGCCTGGGGGGGGGGAGAATTTGCTTAGATATTAGGTTAAACCCGGGGTCCTCAGTCATGGCACTAGGTCAGAGTTCTTTTCACTTCCATCTCTAGTAAGTAGAGGTTGGAAGAAGGGCCGAGGAACTCACCTCTCAGGCCTTCTTTGCCACACAGGGAGTACATTTTTTCCTACACAGTGTAAACAAAGCCCAACAATTTTTTCCCACCTAAACTCTGACTCAGGAAGTTTGAGATTTTACTAGTTCCCAAATCTGGTTACTACGTGATTATGAATATCAAATGATTTATGAAGAGGGCAAATTAAATTTAAACTTTACCTGTACCTGCTCCTTTAGCTTAAGGATGAATTTCCCTGCACCTTTCCACTTGCTTTGGGCTTGAAACACACACTCCTGATCCAAAAGGACTCGCTGTGAAGACTTTGGGGTAGAAGACTTCTTGTTGGGCATGTCTTTGACCACCTCTTCCAAAAGCACATAGTCCCCTGGGTTGGGGTTGCTCAGGATGCTGTAGGAATATTTGGCTTTGCATAATGTCTGAAAGAAAAGTTATCATCAACTGAATGAAGTATCTCCAACTTTTGCATTCATCCTAAACGAAACTGTAAGGTAGAAAAGTGGCATAGACTTTGAGAGGTAGAGGGAATCTTCCAGATCATGTTGACCAGTGCCTTATTGTGCAGCTGTGTAGCTGTACAACACACTTTCTCAGGTTACTTCGTTTAGCTTTCTAATGGTCTATAATTTAGATGAGGAAGCTTAGACTTATAAAAGTTAAGCAGATTCCAGAGTAAACACAGCTAGTAAGCAACAGAATAAAGACTGGAACCGAATTTTCCGTATAGGCCAAAGCTCATAGATAGGAAGGTTACTCAGCTAGTGAGGAACAGAATCCTGCCTCCCAGAAACCCTCATCCCACAAGGCTGCCTCTTTTAAGCAGTCTTGGATGTTGAAGGGATTTTAGAAGTCACAAAGTCAGCCTTTATTTTGTACAAGAATATCTTTCATTTATGCATTTATTCATTCTGAGGACCTACTCTGTCCCAGATATTCTACTTGGAGGAGGCAAAGATGAGCAAAAGAACCACAATCTGGAATACAAAGTCATAATTAAGGTGACTAGCATTAACCCAAATGGTCATACAAAGGAATAGCAACACACACACACACACACACACACACACACACACACACAGACGTCAGTAGTATTTACCACCTGCCAGGCATTGTGCTAACAGCAACCTGTGAGGAAAGTATTATTTATGCTATCTCCATGCTGTCTATGCAGTGTCTTACCACACAGGGTGTGCTGGAGCTAAGTGGAGAAAAGGGTTAGTGAAGGCAGACAAGGTAAGTATTTACACTACCTTATTAACAGGAACAAATAGGGTTTTTGTTTTTTTTCACCCCAAAGAACTATTTTACCAGCACCCAGTAGCTGAGGCACAGATCTGAGATCTTCCTCAGGACCTCAGAGTTAGTAAAGTAGTACAGCTGGGTTTGGAGCTAGAGCAACTGATCAAGGTCTGTGCTCTTAATGATTGTGCCCTATCCCTTCTCAGGTGCTTAATGAATGCAAACTATGAGGAGGCAATAGTTGGGAAGGAAACAGTTCTCTGAAACCATGCAAAGAAGCTTGAGATAGAGGAAGGGAGAGGGTCAGAGTAAGCCTCCTGCTTGTCTTCTGTAGGATCCGTGAGAGGTGGTCATTAGGTATTGGCTCAGACATTTCTGGGACAATGAAATGACCATTCCGCAGAGCTTCCTTCTAAATCCACTACTGTCGATGCTTCACAGAGCCCCAGGCTCACTGTGCACACTAGCTGAATATCTATTGAAGGAATGCACTAATATTTCCTAGCCTTCAGAGGCACACTCTTCCTTTTCGGGTCCCCATTGTTGAAGAATTTCATTCTAGAACAATGAAACAACTGAACTGTCAATGCACAGACGTTTAATTTGTCCCTATAACTTATACTGACAAAAGGAATGAGGTGAGGAAGGGAGTAAGTTATTTTTCTTGCAGTGCTGGGGATGGAACCCAGGGCTTTATGCACGGCAAGTGTTCTACCAACAAGCTACACCCCCCTCCCCCAAAGAGCAGTTTTTACCTGCTGAATGACATCCTGTGCAGTGCTGACACGGGGTGCTTTGATTACTGTTCGAGGTTGCTCTGGAGAAACATCATGCACTTGGACAAAGAAACTCTCCTCCTCTGAGCTCAAGATCACCTCTTTGTCATCTTGAATAATGTTTTTCTCTTCTATGGTCTAGGTTAGAAAATGAAAACAGTAATTGGTAAGGTGATGCAGAATAAAAAAAAATTAGCAAGACTTTGAGCTGTATCTTGGTAATGCAGAAACAAGTTCTTAGTTTTATGTTTCATACATTAGTTAATATTTCATGAACTATTCTAAAAGGATATACCTGTCTTTTGAGAGGAAGAAAGTATTGTATTTCTGCTAATTGACACACTGAGAAGGTCTGGCCTAGAATAAGCCAGTTCATCTGCTCCTATTAGCTATGGATTTTGAGAGTCCAAATCAACTGTAGATAAATTTGTAGAAAGAAAATTCACCATTTTTTCAATTACCAAAAGCCAAATAAGAACACAGTAAATTACATTTAGAGAAACCCACCATTTCCACACAGACTTTGAGCATTTAGGAAATCATTAGACATCTGAAATGTGAGACATGAAATTGACATTCTGAGAAGCTGGGTGAACAAAACTTACAGTGAAAAGGCTGACATGATACAATGGCTGAAGGTAAACCACACTGAAATGAATATCAGCAAAATTATTTTTTAATTTAATTTTTAAAATATCAATAATTATGAAAATGGGTTATCGCATTAGCTTTAGATAAACTGGCTTTTGGTGAATTTAGTATATGTAAATTTATATAAATATATATATATACATATATATACACACACATATCTCTTTATATATAGTATAAGGATATATGCATCTTATTTAAAAAATTCGAAAGTATAGAAGTAATTCAATAAAAAAGCAAACTTTTCTTATTCTCATACTTTTTTTCTTTTCCCCACCTCATTCTCCACACACACACACACACACACACACACACAACAAATAAAGAACACCTCACTGTTGTTAGGTTTTATATCCTTCTAAACATTTGTTATGGATACCCAGATATATTTTTCTTACGTGAATACATGCACACAACAAAACTGGCATTACGCGATTTAGCTATAATGTGATTATAAGATGGTTCCTGTCTTTTGTCATCCCCCAGTCTCAAATGAGAGCAGCTTTAATTATCTTCTGCAGGAGAGGAGGGAAGACAGGGAAGGCTAGTAAAGAATAGCCAACCCGCCTCAGGGATGAGGACTTGGCAGGACAATCCTCCTATTGTCCCAGCGCCATCTCCAGTCCAGGCTATGAAATGGTGCTAACTAAGAAGAAGGATCCAAGAATTACTGCCACCATCCTGGAAGTTCCACCCAGCCACATGACTCAGAATTGTGCCCACTGATATTAAAGTAAGGATGGAAAAATGCCACCAGGTGGTGCCAAACTGTAACCAAGACCCGAAAGGACTGGTCCTGGAGCTTGCCAGACAGCTGCACCCACCTGCCCTAATCAATCATTTCATTACCTGTGCAATCATAGCCCTACAATTTACACAACTGAATTTTTTGAACCAATTCAAGGTATACTGGTGTGGGTAGGTAGGGGACAAGAGTTATTATCCATTTTATTATATAAAATGAGATTTGTACCCACTCTAAAACTTGAGTCCTCACTTAAAAGACTGTACTCATCATTTCATGTCCATTCCAAGAGATCTTCCTGCATAATATGATGTAGCTGCCATTGCACTGATCATGTTTAGTCAGAGAGTGAGGATGGGGTAATTCACAGAGCAGAATTTATAATCTCAGTGTCCCAAAAATCAGGAAGCAAGAAATAAGAAAAAAAGTTCTAAGATGCTGGATAAAATGTCCCCAAAACAATGCATCACTTTTAAAAATATATTTTAAAAATTTTTTTAGTTATAGAAGGACACAATATCTTTATTTTGTTTACTTATTTTTATGTGGTGTTGAGGATCAAACCCAGTGCCTTATATGTGCAAGGCAAGCGCTCTGCCACTGAGCCACAACCCCAGCCCCCACTAAGCCACAATCCCAGCCCAATACATCACTTTTAAGAGGAGTCCTTAGAGCCCCATTCAGAGTTTGTTCATATTTAGGGAGTTTTCAGTCCCATAAGTCACAAATTATGAACAGAAATAGTAACAGTAGCTCTCATCATAACCCCTTTTCACTTATTTTTTAATTTTTATTTTTTTAATGAGAAAACTTATTTTTTAAGTTGAACAACTTTATTTATTTATTTTATGTGGTGCAGAGGTATGAACCCAGTGCCTCACAGATGCAAGACAAACGCTCTACCACTGAGCCACAACCTCAGCCCCTTCACTTATTTTTGTATATATTGTCTATGCATTTGACAGTGAGTTTCGCAACAGTGTTGTTTTGTTAAATGAGGTAGTTTCTATTATAGATTTTATAAATTAGGGCAGTGAGGTTTACAAAAGTTAGGTGACCTATTCAGGATAGCCTAATTTGCAGCAGAGCCCAGGCTTGTCTGATTTCAAATCCAGCAGTAGTCAGAGGGGGTCACATCGACTATAGGAAGATGTGGCTGACGGCTCTACAGCCAAGGAAACAAAAAAAAGTACACAAGGCAAGCTGGAGAGGTCAGAGGTCACATACAGCATTTTAGGTACTTTTAATTGATATAGGCAAACTACTTATATATCTTACAATTTCCAAATGATAAAATAAATGGAAATACTTATAACCCAAATGTATCAATCATAAGTGCCTGTTTGCCTTCAATGATTGCTAAAGTCACTTTTCAATCAGAAATCTTTTTTTTTTTTTTTTAAGTGCTGGGGATTGAACCCAAGGCCTCATGCATGCTGAGCATATGCCTACAACTGAACTACACCCCAGCCTCAGTAAATTTTGCTATCATTATGCACTAAACCTGAATACACTAAATGCAATTTGTTATCTTTTGGGATAGATTTTAGTCATTTCAAAAACCTCCCCACAAGGATATATCAAGGAGAACTCGGTGTAATTCTACTCATGAAATAAAAGCTTATTAGCTTTCCTTTCTAATTTATCCCCCTTTTCCTTCAAAATGCTTCTCTTTTACCAGCATTTATTAGCATCTACTTCTGAGATCTCTACTGCCTGTTGTCATATACATTTAAATTGCCTTCAGGGCATCCCCAGACTGCTCAGTCCTGACCATGGAATGGAATGATGTCCTCTTAGACAGCAGCCTGTCTATCTTGCCTCCTGCTCATGCCTCCCGCTGCCTCCTACCATGCTGGGTGTGGATAATCCACAGGACTGATGCAATTCTAGTGTGGGGAGCACAGGATGGCAGAAGGAACAGCCCCTAAGACTTGAGCTCTTTCTACTTCTGATCCTGTCATGCTTGTAACCTCTCTGATTCTATTTCCCTATGTGTAAAACGGTTTTCATTATATCATGAGCTCGTTAAAAATAGTGGGTTTTTGAGACTTTTCAGTGTTATAAATGATCATACAATAAATGGTTTGAAAATTTTACTTATTCACTGGCATTCTCACTTAAAGAATACATTTTAACAAGGCAAGACAATTAAAAATAGGAAATGGGGGAAAAATTAGAAATTAAAGGGCTCAAAAGTCCAGTTAAGCTCTCTGATATCTTCTCCTGAAGTGATTATCATTAGAACTGTTTCTAATGATTGTTCTCTGTCTTAGCAATTCCAATGCCTGACAGGGAGAGGAGGCTGGAGAGATAATTACATTTCTTTGCTTAAACCAAGTGTCCTTTTATGGTCTGAGATACGGTTAGGGAAGGAAGGTGGTAGCTCTGGGTCTCAGCAGATGCTAGAGTTCTAGGAAAGATTCAGGTCACATTCACAGTAATCAGGGATTGAAAAAATGACACACAAAGGATAAAATTTACTATCATCTCCACTGCGCCCAGTAGACATGGACCACTATGTTCTATTACGAGCCAAAAGGATCAGGCCAGGTGCTTAGAATGGGACCTGGCACATATTATATGATTAATAAATATTGAATTGACTCAATTGCTTTGTTATTCGCATATCATAAAGACTGTCTATGCTAGAACAATAACCTTATATACTATTTCAAAAATGGCAGTAAGGTAGTGACATGCTAATCAGTTTATTCAATAAAAAATTGGTTCGTGGGCACAGTGGTGTACGCCTATAATCCCAGCACCTAGGAGGCTGAGGCAGAAGTATTGCAAGTTTGAGGCCAGCCTCAGCAACTTAGTGAGACCCTGTCTCAAAATTAAAAATTTTTAAAAAGGGCTGGGAATGTAGCTCAGTGATAAAGCACCCCTGGGTTCAATCCCCAGTAGCAAAAAAGAAAAGAAAAAGAAGTGTTCTATTAACAAAGTCAAATGGGAGTCAACCTATTTGGAGTCACAGGGCAGAAGTTGCTTTCTTTCCTTTGTGGGGATGATCATGGAAATATTAGCATGGGTAATATAAATTTTTACTAATTCTGACCAATGCTGAGAGATTACTCTTACTTTATGTGAAATTATGGAGTATTTTCAAATAGTGCTGTTTTACTTACCAGTACAGAACCTTTTATAGGTTGAGTGTCCCTATCTGAAATGCTTGAGACTGAAATGTTTCAGATTTTGGAATATTTGCACAGACTTCACAGGTTATATGTAATACATTGTCCATTACAGCATGAGGTCATTCAAATACCTTTCAATGTTGTAAATTATTTTGCAATATATGGTTTGAACAATTTATGGAATGCTCAACCTGTTTTGGCTAAAACTTTATTTAGCAGGCACTAATAAGAAAGCAATCAACATTAAAATGTAGAATTCCTACAGACCCTGCATAACAGAACAGAGGAGTCCCCCTTATCTGAGGTTTTACATTCTGCAGTTTCAGAACCATGGCCTGAAAATATTAAATGGAACATTCCAAAAATAAATAGTTCTTAAGTTCTAAACTGTGTGCAATCCTGAGTAGTGTGATGAAATCTCTTCTGCTCTATTCTGTCCATCCTGGGGCATGAATCTCCTTTTTTGTTTTTTGGGTACTGGGGATTGAACTCAGGGACACTCAACCACTGGGCCACATCTCCAGCCCTATTTTGTATTTTATTTAGAGGTAGGAGCTCACTGAGTTGCTTAGCACCTCGCTTTGCTGAGGCTGGCTTTGAACTTGCAATGCTCCTGCCTTAGTCTCCCAAGCTGCTGGGATTACAGGGGTGTAATCGCCTGGCATGAATCTTCTCTTTGTTCAGCATATCTGTAATGGACTACCTGCTCCTTAGTCAGCTGCTCAATCTTGGTTATCAGGTCAGCTGTCATGGTGTCATAGTGCATGTATATAAGGTTGGGTTCTATTGAGGTTTCAGGCATCCATCGGAGGGCCTGAATCATATACCCTGTGAATAGGAAAGGGGTACTACTATAATGTGATCTTCACAACATCTTTTCATTGTTGATTGCTTGAGTTTTAGCCAGAGTTTTGCTAAGTTGCCTAGGCTGGCCTCGAACTTGGGATCCTCCTACCTCAGCCTCCCAGGTAACTGGGATTACAGGTGTATACCTCAGTGCCCAAATACAACAATGTCTTTTCATATACAAATAAAATACTGGACTCACAGCTGATAACATGCACAGGGATCCTTTAAGTTCTTGCTTTATAAAAGATGTTTTTTTAGACTGAATTTCTGCAAGTTAGAGATAACTTTCTTTTTTTTTTTTAACACATATTTTTTAGTTTTAGGTGGACACAATATCTTTTATTTTCATTTTTATGTTGTGTTAAGGATCGAATCCAGTGCTCATGTATGCTAGGCAAGCACTCTACCACTGAGTCACAACCCTAGTCCAAGATATGTATGGAAAAATAAAATCATTTCACCATATTTACTTAAGAAGAACAATATACACCAAGTTGCAACGAAAGAAGCTCAGGATTTGAGGGAGGTGGTGAGTGGTGAGAAGGCTAACCACTGAGCTATAACTGTATTGGCTGTTCCCAGAATACACTTACTTCCTGCTGGGTTTTTAAGACAATCCTGCCCACGTAGCCTTCTTCTGGAAACCAGCTGCTTAAAATTTGCATGATCTCTTCCTCTGGACCAATGGCTCTCTGGAACGGTTGTTTCCTGCATTCATTCTTTTCTTTAGATATAAAATATTTTTCTTCCATCAGAAAATAGTCTGTGATGATAGGTTTGGTGTCTTGTTCAGTTGTCAGAATCTAAAGAAAAAAACAATGGCAAAATTGGGCTCACTTCTAAGGAGTGTAGCACAAGCTTAAATTCAAAACAAATCTTCATGATGTTCAGATAGGTTTGATGTGAAATTTATAAGCAAAACCTCCTCTGGAGTGTTGCATAATTCTTTTTGGAAGATCTAAGAATTCTTGTATGTCCAGAAAGGATTGTTTATGTCCATTCTGGGCAATGGTACAATTTCTCCACAATCCCCAGACAGCATAGCTATTTTCCCACTGCTGGAATGAGAGTTCCTACTAAATTAAAAACTTTAGGTTTTTCACTCCATGAATTTAGCCCTTTGTAATCTTGTAAACAGAACAGAGGGCAAAGAACCTCATCCAGCTTTTACTAAAATAATCTCGTCTTCTCACATTGGAAATACTCAATCATCTTCTCATGGAAGGTTCCACAAGGCTAAATTCTCATCTGATCTAAGTTGCTGGGAATTCTCCTTTCGGTAAACTCCTGACAGTGTGCCTTAAAAACCCAGCAGGAAGTATTTTCTTTGTTGGCTACTGACCCTGTGCAGTTTACATGGCGTGGTTGTGACAAGGATCTGGAGCCAGTCAAACCTGGACCTGAGATTTCACTTGTAAGACTTCCTGTCTATGAAGTGTTGGGCAAGACACTTAATCCCTCGGAAATTCAGTTCTCCCATCTAAAAACTAAGAACAGCCATTAGCAACATTCTCTTAATTTCAGTTTGTTTTATGATTGAGGCATAAAGTGTAACACTATGAGAACATTATGAGAATAAAGTGTAAAGTATGAAAACTCAATAAATACTAGCCACCACTGTAGATACCTTTACTGATGTGTTCTTTCTCACTCGTGAGCAGATTACTAACAAAAGGTGGATCTCAAAGGGAGTAAATGTCAGCCATGATGAAGAAACCCCCCTGTGTCACCTCCCCGTAAAAGTGGCTGGGTGATGAGAGAAAGCTGCTGCCACCTGGCCTGGATTAAGCAAGTCCCCTTCTCCCCAGGCCTGTGTCAACCATGCAGTGACCAGAGTCAAAATTTTCTCACTTGGAAAGAAAGCAGAATGTAATGTGCTGAGGTTGGTGGAGCAGAAGAGTCTCAGAAGATTCTGATCCCTCCACCTCAGCCCTTGGTCTAAAACAGACCCCGTGTTATTGATTCTGTGGGGGTCAAGTCAATCAGGTTGCCTGAAGCTCAGAACTACCAGTTCAGGGATAATTCAGCGTATGAAGACACCATGAGAGGGTCAGTGTCTGCCTTCTTCTGTTCTGAGGACTTCTTTGCAGATATGACAATAAGAGGCTGCTTTTCGTGGATGGCCTATTAGAAGTTGTCTTTATCTTACAAAACCTTGGCAGTGCTTTATGATTGTGAACGCTGAAGTTCATGGATTGATTGGTTAAAAAAAAGAAAGAAAGAAAAGAAAAACAAAAACACAACACACACACGCATACACACATTTGACAGAAACTTCTTTTTGATCATCTGTAAAATATGATACCTAATGGTTTTCTATGATCCACCTAATTATAAAATGTTGGCTAAATTGTTGGCGTATCTATAGACATGTACCTTCAAAGGACAGAGACACTTATTAATACTTGGTATGGTTGTTCAGTTGGTTTTTAATTTCCCCACACATTATCTGATTCCAGCTACATTTCATCATATACCCTAATTTCCGAGGGAGTTCCAGGGTCACTCCCTTGGTCCTTGCTCCACTTGGCCTACCCTCAAGGAGGAGGAGGAGTTCTGAAGTGGGTTAAGAATAAAAGAATCTACAAGGATAATCAGCCACTGTGTCAAGCAGGGGTAGAGCTTCTAGTGTGCAGAGAAAGAGAGTTACACATGGGCTCTGCTTTGCCCTGTGGGGTGCTGTCCTTTCTCTTCTGGATGCTGCTCTTTGTTCCTGGTCTGCCCCTCTTAGAAGTCCTGCCATAGACCGTGATTCTGCCTGCAGAAGGCCTCAAGATTGCTAAAGGGATCTAGAGCAGAAGTGTCCTGGCGTGAAGGGGCTTAGGCCTGCTTGCTCAGGGGTAAGAGGCTTTGGGGTAAGAGACTCATGTTCTCTTGTTCAGGCTTTCATTGCTTCTTTACATCACCAGATGTAAAGGAAAAGCCTTCAAGCGCTGGAGATGTGTCCTTGGCCCATGTGGTCCACCCTGATGCTCTAGGAATCTGATTCAACTTCTAGGTTGGCAGACAGACTTCATTCAGCTCCTGTGTAAATTCTGAATGATTAGTAAGTGCTGCGTTATGAAGGAAGATGAGGCCTGTGTCTAGATTTAGAGGGAAAAATTTTATATGGTTGGAAGGCCATTTGTTCTGGTTTTTAAGTTTCTAGAGTCTGGTGTTTTACGTGGTTGAAGAATTGTTAAAAATTTCTCTGTGGTTAAGGTAGCTTGTCTAGTAGTACCAAGATTCCTCAGGCCATTCTTATTTTTATATTTATTTTTTAATTTGTTCTTATTAGTTATACATGATAGTAGAATGCATTTTGACATATTATACGTATATGGTGTGTAGCCTCGCATTCTTCTGGTTGTACATTATGTAGATTTACATTGGTCATGTAGTCAATATATGCACATAAAAACATAGTCTGGTTCATTCTACTATCTTTCCTATTCTCATTCCTCCTCTCTTGCCTTCATTCCCCTTGGCTTAATCCAAAGTATTTCTGTTCTTCCCTACCTACCCCCCCCCCCCCCCCCTTATTGTAGTTAGTATCTGCACATCAGAGAAAACATCTGGCCTCTAGTTTTTGGAATTGGCTTATTTCACTCCTTGGCATATCCCCAAAGGACTGAAAATCAACATAATATATATTGACATGGCCACCTTAATGTTTATAGCAGCTCAATTCACAATAGCTAAGCTATGGAATCAATCTAGGTGCCCTTCAACAGATGAATGGATAAAGAAAATGTGGTATATATACACAATGGAATATTACTGAGACATAAAGAAGAATGAAATCATGGCATTTGCCTATTAACAGATGGAACTGGAGATTATCTTCAGGTCATTCTTAAAGTTGATCTCATTCACAAATATTCAAAAGGTATATAATTAACACAGACATTTGTGCATTGATGTCCACATGTGTATGCTTACACACATACTCAAACACACATACATCTATATACATTAGATTTGTATTCTCCTAACCATAGGTCCAGTAGACTTGCCTGTTGGAGAAGCTGCTTGGCTTTGGTGCCTCCATTTATAGTAAAGACAGCAAAGGGCTCTGGACCTGGGACCCCATGCACTGTGACTCTGTGAGTCTGTGAACATTTTCTCTCTTCTGTATTAAACATCTGTGAAGGAAGATCACATGATTTTCATTCATTCTAAAAATATATTTCTAGATCTATTCCATACAGAGGTGATGTACTTAGAAATATACAGAGGGACATGTAAATGCAAAATATGAGAATTTATAACCATTTATAACCTGATATGAATGGGGTAGGAGAGAAAATGAACATCTTCCTTAATAGATTAGGGAGATTACTTAACAGCACACCACCAAAGAATTGACTTATTTTCAATCAGTGTCTCTTTCTATCATAATTAGGGACTTATGTTATCTGAAATAAATGTTAGTCCTTATTTATGAACTGACATTCTACACTATCTATTACATTCCATCTCTCTTGGGGGATTGGGCTAGAATTTTGAATAGTAAGATGATAAATAAAATGTCTTCCCTTAGCTCACTGCCAGGCACACAAATAATCACAATAGAGAAAGTATGTCCATTAGGAAGAACTTAGTGGGTGTGTAACTCAACTCTTTGAGAATTTTGCATATTAAGATATATTGATCATTCAAAATATGAAATCATTTATGGAGTGCCTAGCCCTGGAGATTCAGGGACAAACGAGATATTATTCCTGCATTCAAGGGCTCCAAGTAGAATGAGAAGCTAGAGGAGAAAGTGGGCCATTGTAAGAAGCATGATAAGTTGCTTGGGAACCCACAGGAAGTTTGGAGGAAACCTGGGAGCGGGTGGGGGGCCTTCCTTAAAATGGTCTCATGTAAATCTTGAAGGACCCAGTGTGATCTAGCAGATGAAGAGTGGAACAAGGGGTTCCCAAATTGATCCCAAATTGAAGCAGCACCTGTGCAGAGATTTAGCAGGGACCTAGGTCAGGTCATTCTGGGCACCTCAGCAAGGTCAGTGGCTCATGTGCGGGAGGGAGAAAGCCTGAGCCTTGGCAGTGCACATTCCTGCAGTTCCTTCATGGAACTGGCTAAACTTTGGACTGGAACTGGCAAAATGGCAACTTGAGGGCTGAAGTGTTTTAACATGAACTTTATTTTTATTTGGGGTGGAGAGAAGAGGTTGGCTATTTTGCTGTGCTTGCACAATGTGTTTTCATTTAATCAGTTTTATTGAGGTATTATTTGCATACCATAAAACACACATACTTTAATTGCATGGGTTAACCTCTACTATGTTTTTTAAAAGGTAAAAATGTTACCAACATTAATAAAAATACAGATGTCCTGGTTCTCCTGCAAAACCAAAAGATCTGGTGATGCTGCATGGCGACAAGCAGCTGGGGCTGAGAGCTGGGTAACAGCTGCTCCTCTAAGCTGCTCCTCCAAGAACTCTCTGCTTTCCTGGAGTCTCTGCCCAGCCCATGTATGTACATTCACCTCATCCTCCTAGCATCCTCCTGCATTGGATTTTTGTTACCCTGGTATAAACTTTACTCTGAAAGCAATGGAAAACCAAAGAAAGATTTCTGTGAGGAATGACATTGATCAGATTAGATAGATCTGCCTGGGAGATTCTAAAGGAAGACAGAGAGGACAACCCCGGTGAAAAAGAGACCTCTTAGGAACCCACCGTCATAGCCAGATGAGAATGAATCAGGACCATGGCAGAAGGATGGACAGAGATGACTGTATTTGAAAAATACTAGGTCTTAACTGGGGGGGTATAAGAGAGAGGGAGAAATCTAGGAAAACGTCCAGTTATTGGCTTTAGCACTGAAGGGTGGTGTCTGCTATGGCTGAAGAATGTGTACCTACCAGGCATAGAAGCTGCTGCCTGATAACCCCAAGGATGGCATGGTGTGGTATAAAAAATAAATAGATATGTGGTCTTTGTCCCTAGCTGGCTTGTCAGAAGTCCCAGTGACAATCTGACAATCTGGGACTGATGATTGGCATCTGAAGCAGGGGAAGTCTTATGAGACTAAACCATTAATTTGTGGGCTCTGCCACTAACTCCAGGTGAAAAGTGTCAGAATCAAATTTAAATGCAAGATCCCAAATTGGTGCTGGAGAGAAGGAGCAGTGGTGTGGAGAAGACAACATGCATTTTGGTGTCAGAAGTGTGAGTGAAGACAGCGAATTTGTAGCATTGGTGCAGCCTTCAGCTCTAACAGATATGGAAGCAACCAACCCAGAGCTGGATAACAAACCTATTTTGCCTCTCTGAAAGCACCTGATCCCTGCTCTCTGGGACCAGGAAGTGAGGTCTGTTCCCGCCTGTCAATCTTCTGCGCAAGGTGGAGCTCATACCTTCCTCCACCCTGACCAAAGGGTTGTTCTCAGCCTTGGTCACACACTGGAATCACCTAGGGATCTTTCAAAAGACAGATGCCTGGGCCCCCAGTCCTAGATTCTGACTTAATTGGTGTAGAGTGTGGCTTGGGCACAAGGATATTTTAAAAGCTCTACAGATTTGTCCAGTTAAGACTGATGTGGAGTGCTGAAAATAAAAGGAGAAAAACCCAAGGAGATAAGGTCAAGGACAGAGAGAGAAGAGACCGACAGAAGTGAGGGAAAGAGAAGGCCAGAGAAGAAGGCAAGGCTGTTTATAGATGGTGGCAGAAGTGGTCCCAGCCAGTGCCATTATTGTGAGCACAGGTGCCTTTCCAAAACTCCTTACTCCTATGCTGCATCGTCAGATTGATACAATAGCGATCAGATGATTAGACATGTAGACAAGGTAATCAATGGACATACTTTCAAATATATTTTTAATTTAAAGAGGAAGCAGAATGAAATTAACCAGTTTATTAAAGCTATGTTTACTGTTCAAATAAACTACCCTAGATTAGTGGACTGAACTCTGCTCCAGTGGTCCTCAGACTTCTGTGGGCATGGGTCTCATGTAGGGAACTTGTGAGGTGGTGTATGTGTAGAGTGCTTTGTCAAGAGCCAAGTTTCAGCTGTTATTACTTCCACGGCCACCCAATTCATGACTCTCACAGACCACTTTGCTATAGCAAAAGAAAGCCCACCTCCAGTGTACAAATCCCCTCAAACATGCTGATTGAAATAGAACTTAATTACCAAAGAGGCTGGCAAGGTACTGCCAGAGGAATTTTCTTCCATTCTTCTGCTGTTTATAAACAAACTAGAGATTTCCAAGACTTCATTGTGGAGGTTTCGCAGCTGAAGATGTCGATATCCTGAAATATTGTAGAAATTGGGAAAAGCCTATTAACCCAAGTACTATAGAGCTCTGTAAAGAAGATACTCCAAGGAGATTAACAAATGATAGGTAGAAATATCACCTTAAAATGGGCAATAGATGACGACAGGCATGTGACTAGTAGGCACCTTTTCACTGGGAGGGTGCTGTCCAGTACTGTTCCTAACTTAGACGCAAACAGATACTCTAAATTCAAACAAAAATGGGCAGGAAAGGGCTGGGGTGGTAGCTCAGTGATAGAGCACTTGCCTAGCACATGTGAAGCCCTGGGTTTGATCCTCAGCACCACATAAAAAAATAAATAACTAAAATAAAGGTATTATGTTCATCTACAACTAAAAAATATTAAAAAAAAAATGAGGGGCTGGGGTTGTGGCTCAGTGGTAGAGCACTTGCCTAGCATGTGTGAGACATGGGGTTCGATTCTCAGCACCACATATAAATAAATGAATAAAATAAAGGCCCATCAATATCTAAAAATATATATTTAAAAAAATAAAAAACCAAATGAATAAAATAAAGTATAAAAAAAGTAGCCTCATTTAAAAAAAATTAGCAGGAAAACCTGATCATTTTGACATCAAGGCATGTGCAGCCAATAAAAGTAGTAAAAAAAAAAAAAAGTGGTTAAAAAAAGAGTGGTAATGTCAATGTACAGGTAACATGAAAAGTTGCTCATTATATACATTAGAGAGTGAAAACTAGTAACTTGCAAAATACTAAGATTAGTAGGGAGCCTATTGTTTAAAAACATATCTCGTGTCATATGCATGGGCAGAGAAATGAAATCTGTAAAAGACGTTCACCTAAAGTGATTATATTGGGGAGATGAAATGATGGATAATTTAAAAAAAAGTTTTTGCTATTCTTTTCTTTCTCACATTTCCATAATAATCTTATGGGCTGAATTGTGCTCCTCATTCATATGTTGAAACCTGAACCTCTAGTACCTCAGAATGTGACTCTATTTGGAGATAGGTCCTTTAATGAGGTAAGTATGTGAAAATGGGGGTCATAAGGGTGGGCTCTAATCCAATATGACCAGTGTCCTTAGAGGAAGAGGCTATTAGGACACAGACATGTGCACACAGACTAAGATCATCGGAGGACACTTCAAGAAGCTTGGCATCTGCAAGCGAGGAAGAGAGGCCTCTGAAGAGATCAGACCTGCTGACACCTTGAATCAGGCTTCTAGCACCCTTAGAACTGCAGGAAAACAAATTTCTGTTGTTTTTTTTTTGTACCAGGGATAGAACTCAGGGGCACTTGACCACTAAGCCACATCCCCAACCCTATTTTTTTATTTATTTAGAGACAGGTTCTCACTGAGTTGCTTAGAACCTTGCTTTTGCTGAGGCTGGCTTTGAACTCATGATTCTTCTGTCTCAGCCTCCCGAGTTGCTTGTTGTGGTATTTTCTTATTAATACCCCAGCAAACAAATATAATAATAAGGGGATATTTGCACAATGGAGAAGAAAAATAGGAAATAATTAAGAAGTAGGAAATTGCAAGGTGTCTGTGGAGCTCAGAGAATGGCAGTTTGAGTGTGGCTAGAGAGGTGGGGGGGGGGAACATGTAGAACCTGATACTTAGTGTACTTCAGCAGAATCACCACCTTTGGAAGCTTGTTAGAAAGGCAGAATGTTGGGGCTGAGGTTGTGGCTCAATGGTAGAGCACTTGCCTAGCACATGTGAGGCACTGGGTTCAATCCTCAGAACCACATAAATAAATACATAAAGGTCTAAAAAAGAAGAAAGAAAGAAAGAAGAAAGGAAGGAAGGAAGGAGAAAGAAAGAAGGAAGGAAGGAAGGAAGGAAGGAAAGAAAGAAAGAAAGAATCTCAAGCCCTGACCCAGACCTATGTAACTGGGATTTGCATGTTATTACCAAAGTGATTCCTGTGCACATCAGTTTGAGAAGCAATTCATGAGCCAGGTGCAAGAAGCCAAAATTCCTCAGAGCGCCACACTAAAGCCAATCCACAAGCCAAAAGCCCTGGCCTTTGCTCAAAAATTCTCTTTCCCCTGCTTTCTGTCTAATACCACCCTGGCTTCCAATACTGGATGTCTTCCAGGCACCACCTCCGACCATGGCTCACTTTTGCAACCCCCCACAACTCTCCCTTCTTTTCTTTCCTTACTTCATGCCTTCCTTTAAAAAATGCTAGGGGTACCATGGGTGCTGCTTGGGATTTTCATTCTACCTCGTTTTAAAGCCTTGAGTGGAATGATCCTCTGAGCAGTTACCGCTGAACTGTTATTTTCCACAACTGCAAAACGAAGAAATACAAGATCTTCAAAGTGAACCCGGAACAGAAACTGTTCATTCCACATGGGGTTCAGAGTGTTTCGATGGATGGGCTTCGTACGGAAATGACAGCTATCCAGGGGCATGCCCAGGACGTCCACTTCTATGCACGGGCTTCCTGTGCTGTTACTAGGGCACACATTTTGGCCAGAGACAATCTGAAGGGGGAGAAAAAAAGGATCAAGGTCACAGAAGATGAAAGAGAAGGGAAGACAACTTCTGGGTTTCACCACTTCCATCCACAAAGAATGACTTCATGGACAAGGTAAATGGACAAGGTCAGGTACTCATACTACTGAAATCATATAAAAACTGTTTTGTCAACAGTATTCACTTAACTGTAACCTTTCAACTCAAATAGAGTGTGTTGTAAAAAATTAACTCCTAACCTTCTGTAAACAGATAAAACGACACTCAACTCTAGCTAAAATGGTCAAAGAGAAAAGGAGCTGCTGCCCTCCTGTCTTAGGGAGAGAAAGAAAAAACAGGATAGTCAGAAAAATCTTTGAAGAGAAATCTGGTGTGTCATAAGCAGACTTCCTTTGCAGAGAGGGAGACAAGATCAAAAGATGGAGAGATGACCTTGTCTCCCTCTTTCCTAACTCCCACCCAGATTTGTTGTTGTTGTTGTTAAACTAAGAGAGAAAAAAAGAATAGGAAAATAGAAGCTGGGCATGGTAGTGCACACCTGTAATCCCAGCAGCTGGGGAAGCTGAGGCAGGAGGATTATGAGTTCTAAGTCAGCTCAGCAACTTAGCGAGGCCCTCAGCAACACAGTGAGACCCTGTCTCTAAATAAAATATAAAAAAGGGCTGGGGATGTGGCTCAGCAGTTAAGCACCCCTGTGTTTAATCCCTGGTACCAAAATCAAACAAAAAACAGGGAAATCTGTTTTTAAGGGGAGTCTGTGGAGTTTTGACAGTAAGTTATTTAAGCAATGAAAGATATAAGAAAAAGCCTAGGAAGGATAAAAGGTAAACTAGAAGCAGGAAAGATGCTTCACTCTGTTTATATATTGATGCAGGTTTTTCTTATCTTAGAGCTCATTGGAGCTAAAGATGAGCTGATCTAACAAGGAGATCAGCTTTTTTTTTTTTTTTTGGTTCTGGGAGTGCTCTACCACTGAGCTACATCCTCCAGACCTTTTTGTTTATTTTTTTTTCAAAAATAAATATAAAAAGGTTTTGTTAAGTTGCTGAGGGTCTTGCTAAATTGCTGAGGCTGGCCTTCAACTTGAGATCCTCCTGCCTCAGCTTCCTGAATCACTGCAATGATAGGCATGTACCATGGTGCTTGGATGAAGCCCAACTTTTATGGGGTCTACTCATAGTTATGATTCTGTGGGCCTGGAAGACAGACTGACCATCATTAGTACATCAGATAAAGCAGGGATTTTTCTGGCTGCACCTACTTGGCTCTGGCAAATTCGGTGCCTGATGACTGCAGCCCTAACCTAACCAGAGCCACTACTCTGAGAGATAAAAACATTGTGGGAACTAAATCTGCCCCCCCCCCGCCCCCGTGATTTGTGACACGTCAGTTTTGCAATGCCATGAATCCAAAACCGGTTTATATTCAGGAAGTCTTCAATGCTTCACAACAGTGGCCCTACTTACAGTCAAAGAATAGATGGCAGGCTCCATGTTGTCTAGATCTCTTTCCAGTGGAGAAAACTTCTGATACATGGGGCAGTTCTTGTCCCACAGAACTGGGGGTTTCAATACATAACCACAGCCACCATTTGCCTCAAACATGGCGGCATTTAAATGTAAAGGAAGATCTGCAAAATAAGAAAAAAACCTGATATTGCTCATCCTCTTTGTTGCTTCAGAGTCAGAAATTTAAAGTTCAAAAGAAATTTGCATCATTTTTTTTGGAAACTCAAGCATGAAGTGAGATAATTATCCACTCATGATATCAGTCAGCAAATACCCAGTGTGTGCTAGGTTGTTAGGCACTGTAGATACAGCAGGTAACAAGACATGAAAATCTCTGTCACCATGAAATATACAGTTTATAGAAATGCCCAGTGTTTTTACTCCAAACCAGGTTCTGCCTCATAAAAAACTCCCTTTACAAATAGGAATCAATCATATACATCTGCACAATCTTGCAAAATATCTCATTTTATACTGAGTTTTGGAAAGGGATAGCAGTGTTTTCTTATCCCCAAATAGCGAATCATGTATGGCCAAGTCTTGCTATTTCAAAGACAAGATAAAATCTTAATAATAATAATAAAAACAGCTGAAGAAACAGCTTTTCCTTAAAAAATTTCAATTTCAACTCATAAATTACTTTTACCTCTTTTTTAAATTGTAGTTAAATACAAAACAATCATCATCACATTTGATTCACATCATGTCCACAATCCCCTCAATCATAATCTTTAAGAACTTCACAAAGGCTTTGAATCTTTTGTGGTCAAAATTTTCTTTGGCACAGTGCTTTGATGAACAACTGGATTCCTGCACTGTTTCTGGACTCTTCCACACTCACACGCTCATCCGATGGCTCAAGTCTGTATAAAAGTTGCCCAAGTGAGCAAAAGGTTTATGAGACACACCTGACAAATCTTCCCCCTGATAGATTCCTTCCATGTGCAGAATGAACTTTGCTCTGTGGACCAACATCAAGGAAAAGTGTGGTAATCACCTTGGAACCACAAGAAATTGGCCCCTACCCTTGTGTCTTGTGTGTAAAAATTTTCCATGTATCTGGGGTTGGCCAAGATAATGTGCAGGAATTCCTGGGATAAGGATGTCTTAGACATAGGAAAGCTCCTGGGGCCTCAGTCTCCTTTTCTGTCGAATTAGTGTATTCAAATTAGTGAATTGCTCTGGATCTGCCAGGCCCCTTCCAGTGCTGACTGACTGATTTCATGGAGGGCATGCTGTCTTACTTGCAGGAGGAGAAAATTCTCTTCCCTGGCCATTCTGTGTTAGAGAAAACAGACGTGGCTAGGATGGCTTAGACAGTGAAACAAACTAGCTCACACAGGATAGCAAATATGAAATAGACATATGCAGGTTGAGCATACCTAATATAAAAATTTAAAATTTGAAATTCTTGGAAATATGAAAATGAGCACTGACAAATTTCACCTGATGGGTGAGCACTAAACATACTGTATAAAATCCTTCAGGCTATGTGTGTAAGGTGTATATGAAACACAAATGAATCCTGTATTTAGACTCAGGTTCCATCCTCAGGATGTCTCTCACTATATGTATATGAAAATATTTCAAAATCTGAAAAAATCCAAATCCGGAACTCTTCTAGTCCCAGGCATTTTGGATAAGGGATACTCAACTTGTATTACTAACAATAGTAAGAGCTGCTCACACTTAACTGATTATAATGTCAACTCCATTGAGATTTGAAGCCTGATCGCATTAGTGCAGTATCTATCCTAATAGTTTTCCAAAACTTTCAAGCACTTTTTCTTGACTAAGGTATCTCATGGTGACCCAATGTGTAAAACAGACCCTTGTGGTAGTGCTCAGTTTGAAATGAAGGTGAGATCTGAACTCTAGCCCTCTTACTGTTTCCTAGGAGTGGTCCCAGAACTTCATCAGTGACTACAGTTTGAAAACCCCTGTTCTAACCAAGTAAAAAAATGTGCATGAATCAGTGTAACCCTACTTACCCTTCTGAATCAATCCATATGATAAATTGAGCATAGCATTGCCCTAATAGTCTTCTATTCATTTAGAAATCTTGTATTAAGTAGACACCATTCTCATAATATTTGTCCTTATATTTGGGGTCCAGAAAAATCACTAAAAGTGCAACTATCATGTAATAAAGCATAATGAGTGCTTTTTAAAAAGAGGTTTTTCTTCTGACTGGAGTTGCATATTTACACACCTGTAGGTCCTGTATACAAGGGAGGAATCTGTTCTGTACCCATGTGGAAAGATTTTTGATGGTCTGTTGCCAGCAAAAATCAGGGATTTCCCTACCAGCCTTGGGTCAGTTTCCTGCAAGACTTCTTGTTACAGAGCACTTCTGACCTTCTTGGAGTTAACAGAGCCAGTAGAAAACTGGAGAAGAGAAGGCCCTATGTTCATAGACAACCCTTTGGAGTACTAGGTCTTCTGAGATCCAGGAAATGGCAAGTCAGATGATTCTGGAGACATATTGGGAGGCTAAAGGCAAAATGCGAGGGATCGCAGATGAAAAAGCACTTTCTAATCTAAGAATTTTTGACTCTTATCTATTTGAAATTGCAATACACAGAGAAGTAAACACTTGGAAGAGATCTGGACCAAATATCAAGAACTACAGGTTCTGGTTGCAGTGGGGTTGATAGAGATAGTCTGCTCCAACTCAGGGCAGCCTGCCGAGTGCAAGATATTGAACCAGGCTCCGCCCCCAGTTTGCAGAAATGAAGACCATTTTTATAGACAAACACGCTAACACTGCATGTGGCTTTTCCCTTGTTCAACAAGGGGGATGCTTAATCAATGCTTGCTTCACTGAATCATGGGAGGTTAGTTGGCAACGCTCTCTTCTGGGATGAAAGAATGGAAAGGACCTTGAGGATGAATCATGTAACAGAGTCATCTGCTTCCCCTGAGTGGGCAGTTTGATGTGTCCTGGCTTCCTTTGGGGACATGAAGAGTGTTTAGTGGTGAGTGGAGGACAAGTTTTAGCTTCAGTGTATGCTACTGGACTGCAGGAGTGGCAACTCTTTGTGGTCCCCTTGAGCCGGGGCTCCCTTTGCCATCAATGGAGCCAGACTGTCTGCATCAGTCTTGGCACTTTAGGAGAAAGGACACATCCAAGACCAAACACACTTCTATTTCTTTGCGAAAATCATTTTGCCAGTTGTTTCAGTGCACTTAAAATATTTCGGTATCATAATAACAAAGGGCGCCAGTAGACACAGGGGTTCAGACAGGGTTAGGGATGTGAACCCATAAGCTACTCAGGAAAGATTGAAAAGAAATGGAAAATAAAACTTTTTACAACTCTGAAAGTATTTCACCATTATTTCCATTGGTGAGTCCAAATCAAACTTTTTTTTTTTTTTTTAAATAACTTATCAAATGCACTTAAGGATAGTTAACATCTGTGGAATGCTTTCCATGTGCCAAGCCAGGCGCTGGGCTAAGTATGGTACTTCACCTGCATCAGCTTACTTAATTTGAATTGAGAAAAGGAAACAGAACAAGGGGAAAAATACCGTGACTGATATCTCTAACCACATGTCTTTGGGGTCAGCCACAAGAGGGTACTGTTGGTTGGCACCAGAGGCAGGAAGCTAACTGGTCCCAGACCTACAGCTGTGGGCTGACCTCAGCTGGAGAGAGGGTTGTGCTGTGGTTATGGTTCAGCACAGTTAGTTACAATCCGACTCAGTTCACATGAGCTAAATGATAAAGGCTGCTTTTCTATCCAAAGCAAAGACTATGTTTTTTTGAAGAGATTCTAGGAAACATTCCTCCTCAACTCTTTCCTCACCTTCTGTAGCTCTGCTTCTTTCCTAACCAAGTGGAAACAAAACACTGAATTTATCACTGCAAGTCATCCGGTAACCATGAACAAATTAACTATTTTGCCTTGGTTTGCTTCTCTGAGAAATGAGGATCATTTCTTAGGGTTGTTGTAAAGATTAAATGAAATAATAGGAATTGAGAATTTAGCATAGTGCCTCGTATATATTAAGCATGCAATAAATGAAAACTTACTCTGAAGTTTTTAGATCTCACTTGAGTCTCATCAACAGTGGAGGAACATGAACGCTACTTTATCTGTTCATGCAATTCATATGCTTGTTCTCTTTTAATTTGCAACACTTACAGCACTGACCAGTGCCCTCCACCTCAATTACAAAGGGCTGGAAAAAAGCTAAAAATGGTTCTAATTTGCACAATGTTTGGAATGACACTGCCTTATTTATTTATTTATTTTATTTTTTTTGGTACTGGGTATTAAACTCAGGGGCTTTCAACCACTGAGCCACATCCCCAGACCTATTTTGTATTTTATTTAGAGACAGGGTCTCATTGAATTACTTAGTGCCTCGCTTTTGCTGAGGCTGGCTTTGAACTCTCTATCCTCCTGCCCCAGCCTCCCAAGCTGCTGGGATTACAGATGTGCACCACCGTGCCTGGTAAGTGACACTACTTTTTGACTGCAAGAACAGTTGTGTAGTGAGACAGATAAACCAAGAGATGTTAAGAAATCCCTGCCCCACAGCCAGGCATGGTGGCATTCACTTATAGTCCCTGCTACATGGAAGCTGAGGCAGAAAGATCACTTGAGCCCAGAAGTTCGAGGCCAGCCTGGGCAACATAGCCAGACCCTAGCTCAAAAAAGAAAAGAGAAGAGAAAAGAAAAGATCCCTGTCCCAGAAGAACCTTAAAAACAAAGTGGGGCTTGGTGGGTGTGACCCATGGTAGAGGGAAGGATAGTATGTGTGAGGCTCTAGGTTCACCCCTGCGCCAGCCACAAACAAAACTGAACACAGCTCTGTCAAGAGAAGTCTTGTGTTTAAAAAGTGCTTTTAAAAAAGGGGTGGAGCCTCTTCCCTCCAAGTTTCCCCCCCCCCCCATCATCTTAACTCTGAAACATCAGGGGCATAATTCAGTATTAAATCACATAATGGTGTGGACTCTTGCCCCTTGGCCAAAATATTATTAGCAGAACCCCATTTACTGGCATACAGAAGCAAAGGAGAGAGGCGCAGATGCAGGCGCGTTACCATCTGTCTGGTAGTTAAGTGCCACGAGCTGGATCCCATGGAGCCAGAAGAGGAGGGGATTGGGGTTGGACGAGTCGATGCGGGTGGCGGCCGGGTAGGTCCTCAGCAGTTGACAGGCGGTGTGCTGGATCAGTTTCTGAGAATACCTGCGACACAGACGTTTGGCGGCATTTTCATTCAGCGATGAGATATGATAGCATTTGGGAGTTCTAATGATAGCGCTGAGGGATGTGGTTGGGTTCAGAGGGGAAGAAGATTCCTCCCAGGTCTGTCGAATTCCTTCATAGGAACCTAAACTCCCCAAAAGATTAGTCTCAGATTAGTGTCGAAACCTTAAACATTTTAGAAGGATAAATCTGAACGACACCCCCACAAACAGCCATAGCACATGAATACATCAGAATAGATCTCGAATTTTACTGGAGAGTTAGTTTACCACTTCGAAACAACATGATGTCTACTGAGTTTTAAAAAGAGGATAGTGAAAATTAAAAAAAAAAAAAAAAAATAAATAAATAAAAAAAAAAAAAAAAAAAAAAAAAAAAGAGGATAGTGGACTGGGGGGCATAGCTCAGAAGTAAGGGCCTGGGTTTGAGCCCCAGCATCCAAATAAATAAACAAATAAATGAGGGTAGCAACACCCAAATAAATAAACAAATAAATGAGGGTAGCAACACCCAAATAAATAAATAAATAAATAAATAAATAAATAAATAAATAAATAAGGGTAACCACACCCAAATGAATAAATAAATAGATAAATAAATGAGGGTAGCGACACTGATATTTATTTATTTAGGTACTAGGGATTGAACCCAGGGGCAGTATACCACAGAGCAACATCCCAGGCCCTTTTTATTTAAAAAAATATATATATGTATATTTTATACTTGGTGCATATTTATATAATATATATATATATATATATATATATATATATATTTTTTTTTTTTTTTTTTTTTTATATTTTAAGACTGGGTCTCCTTAAGGTGCTTGGGGTCTTGCTAAATTGCTGGGGTTGGCCTTTAATTTGTGATCCTCCTGTCTCTTCCTCCCTAGTCATGGGAACATAGGCACGTGGCAGCACACTTGGCTGCAACATAGATTTAAATTCGAATCCTGGAAGTCCTTTGCCTCTATACCTCATCTGCTCTGTGGATATATTGCACAAGTACACAACAGTATATGTACAAGCTTATAAAACCCACAGAAAATGAAAACAGGAAGCATCCTAAAGTTATCAGTGATGAAGTGGTTTAATGACAGTATACCCACACAATGAATTATTAAAGAGAATAAGATATATGTACAGAAGGTTATGTAAACTTTACAGCAGGTGTAAAAGATACACAAGTTTGTTCAGTTACATCCCACTTGGATTATCTTTAAAAGGATCTTATTTTTCTTGAACAAAACACAATAAACTTAAGAGTGGTTACCTCTGGGAAGTAGCACGAGGACACTGAGAGTGGAAAGGAATTTTAATAATACTCTGTATTGTTTGAACTTTAACTATGAGAATTTATTACCTTCACAATAAAAAGTAATTAGAAATAAAATGGATATATCTTCTGGGTAAAGAGTACAGTTCCAAGAACCACTAGAATGTTCCAAGGTGCTTCCAGTTTTTACTTTTGAGGCAAAGGACATTAGACTATCTCCAGTGAAATGTTATTTTTAATGAGTTAAAAGCATAAATTAAAAATATTTATGCCATTAGATAATGTGGACATTCATGAAAATATAAAAGAATTTCAAAATTCAAGGGAAGTGCTTAGACAGCAAATACATGAATCATTCAGCATGCAGGATCAAGCAAAGATATTGTAAGAAGGTGACTTTACTTTTTCCAGATGTTTTGTTAAATGTTGCTGTCTCCCCTGGGCTCATTCTGCCCGGATTGTTGCCAAAAATGGACTTCCTGCTTTTCCTTTCTTTTCCTCTGCTAGAGCCAGATGCATTTAGAGTTGACAGGCCTGTTCCCATAAAATGAAAATAAATAAGCCAAAAACTTACAGGCAACATTTTCCATCCCTGTTAATGTTTATTTTGAAGTCTTACTACTCCCCATAACAGAAGACCTGCTAGCATTTTTAGCATGGTTAATAATAGTATTGTAGGCAATTATATTGAAGTTTTTATCTCTATAGGCACATGCAACAAGAAGTGTATGCTTACTGCAGAATAATCACAAGCCCTGTCTCTCTCTTATCCACACCTTACTAGTTGGCAGTGCACCTGAAAGATTTTTTTTTTAAGAGAGAGAGAGGAGAGAGAGAGAGAGAGATAATTTTTAAAAAATATTTATTATTATTTTTTTAGTTTTTGGTGGACACAACATCTTGTTTGTATGTGGTGCTGAGGATCGAACCCAGCACCCCGCGTATGCCAGGTGAGCGCATTACCGCTAGAGCCACATCCCCAGCCCCCTGAAAGATTTTTAAAAGTTGTATGGAAAAAAAGTGCTGTAGTCAAGATTTAATTAGTATTTAATTCATATTAATTACTCAATTTTGAGAGATAAGAGAATGTTTGCAAGTCTGAACTTTAGCATCATATTGTTCAGGTTCAATTCCTTCTGGTCTGAGCCTTGACTTGACACACTCTAACTTCCTTAGTTCCCTTCTTTACAAAATGGGTATGATAAGAGAAATGCACTCATAGGATTAGTTTGAGAATTAAATGGGAAATACAGTGTGATAATAATGAAATTTTATGGCTTCTCTTTCTCCCTCCTGGTCCAACCACTCCCTGGATCCTTCACGCCTGGCAGAGTGCCTGGTGCATAGCAGGAACTTGGTGCATATTTGTTGAGTGAGAAAATGAATGCACACCACACAGACCTGGCTCTAAGAGTGACTTAAAGGCTCCAATGAAGCCACAGTTGCCTCCAAATCATTCCCAAGGTCCATAATTGTACCAGTAGGAGAGCAATTCCTTAAGCTGAAGCAGCATCAGGAGCCCTTTTTTTTCCGAAACAGAAATATACCTTCAAGAACATCCTCAGAGACAGAATAATGTTTAAAAGCATAGACTTTGGGGGGAAAAAACTGAGTCTCAGAAAGGCGATTTGCCTTTGCCAAAGTCAGGTAGCCAAGGTCCCAGATCAGGTAGCAAGGTCCCAGATCTCTGAGCAATGATATTGTCCAGTGATGTTTTCACTATCCAATATTTCTCTTGGCTGTACTCTTTTTTTTTTCTTTCTTTCTTTTTTTAAAATTTATTGGTTTGGCTGTACTGTTCACTGCGAACAAGTAAAGACCAAGGAGGTGGCCAAATCTGTACCTATAAATGCAAGGAGCTCCCCAGAAGGAGGCAGTGTGATGGGTTGAAGTGTCTCGGGCCTTGCAGCTTGGACAGTGTCAAAGGGAGAAGGAAGGATAGGCCAGGTTGAGTACACTGTGGGAGCAAAAGCCTGGCATCAGGAAAGACCATGGTGTGTGTATATGCTTGATGAGATTTGGGAAGTATCCAGAAACTATGGAGTGGGGTAATATGATAAATGGAATAATGAGATCAAATACCATGCCCTTCTTTTTCTTTTTTTCTATTAGAAAAAAGAAAAATAGAGAGAGATATAAGATGTAACTGAGAAACAAATCCTCTAAGATAGAAGATAGAAACAACAACAACAACAACAACAAATCAGCTACTTCCTTGGTCCTAAGAAAGCTAAGGCAGTGTGGTGAAAAGAACGCAGCCCTGGGAATTGAGACACCGAGTTCTGGTCTTGCCTGACACTGCCCAGGTTCATGATTGTGGGAAACTCACTTTACTTCTGTGGGTGTCAGACCATATGGTCTTGGTGTGTCTTACCAAGTATTTTTGGGTGAAAGGTGAGATATATTGAAAATGATAATGTAACTTATCAATTAAACTGACATTTTCCTCATGTACATCCAAACAAATATGAAAACAACAAATGTTTAGAAGGTATTGTAGCAATGATTTCAGCAACCTAATTTAGTTACTTTGAGAAAGGAAATAGAATTGGGGTGAGAAAAAGGTCAGAAACTTTAATTAATAAATCAATTAAAAATACCTATTAAAGGATATGTACTATATATACAGTATATTTAATATGCCATCCATATGCTTAGTGTGTGCCTCAAGTCAGAGCAAATAATCTCTTGGCCCCTCTAAGGTTCTCTGTTGGTACAGAAAGTTCATCTTTTACACTGACTACAAATATCTATGAGAATTTGTGCACCTTCATTATTCAGTGCTTTAGAGAGAAATGACAAAGGCAGTGGAATGGATTGGGTGTACCCAGTATCACCTGTATTGATGAAGAATAAGAGAGGCATTGAGTGTGATTTTTGAACAGGGTGGCCCTCACACTTGATCACACAATTGAGGACATGCCAGTCATGATGACTGACAGGTAAAGAATTTTCCTCCATCATAAAAATAATTTCATGAGGTGCATGTATGATCATAACCTATTTAGGTCATGTAAAGTCTCACTCTGTGAAATGAAAATGTTAGCTTCTTGTATTTCTTTTAAGTATCTGTTTGCTACTTTTTCACTCATATTCTTTTCAACAGAATTTGCTAGCAGATGAGCATTAGCAGCTGCCAAAGGTTTACAAACAGTTACTGGAGGAAAACTTAAAATTAAGGAATCTCTGGCTCCCCACCCCCACCATGTGTAAAAAAGCCACTATTGCCAAATATTTTTAATAGCCCAACACCTTTGTTCCATTTGCCAGGTACAGTGTGAGAAATGCTGCTTAAGCTAAGCTCTGATGAGTTCAGCCCATCTTGAGAAGATGAGGTTTGGCATTTTAACGCCCCTCTCTAGGCCAAGTTTATATACTCTGTTACTAGCATTTAGACTAGTCCTCCAATCCCAGCTGTTTCCTGTCCTCAGAAATCTTGTGCAAGGGGATTCTTTTTCTTAGTATAAGAAGATGAATTTTTCTGACGGCCATGTATTTGTGGACTTTCCCATCTGTTGGTGCCCCATTTGTGGGACACATAACTGGGTGAATTAAGCTCATTGGTAACATCCCTATCAAGAGGGGCAGAGTATAATATGCTTCAGGGCATGACTTTGGAGACAAGCTTCAGAATCATATATCTACTATTTGCTAACTTAAATGAACACTTTTTTGAAGAAATGGTTCATCAACATAAATTCATTGTACTTTTAGAAATGACCATTTGGGGAAACTCCCTCCCCTTGGTCCTTGCAGTTTAGGTAGAGCCTCACTATGCAGCTCAGGGATAAAGTATGTCATTTGCCTAAATGCCTCCAGACTATCAGAGCATGGCATCTTCCTGGCCACAGTGATTGGTTAAGATTTGGGCAAAAAAACCCAGTGAGAAACTTCTGCTGGAAGCTCTGAAGAAGCACTTGCACTAAAGCCAAGTCTGGAAGTGTGAAGTGCTAGCCTGCTATGGCTACCTTACAACCACAAAGGGAAGAAGGCCAAAAAAGTGGAGGAAAATTGACAAATGGGGAGAGAGAAAGCATGTGCTCTGGATCAGGCTGCACCTGAAACTCATACATCTTTATTGATTTCTGCATCTTTAAGACAAGAATCTTAACTGATACCCCCTGAAAACTTGGGCAAATTACATTATCTCTTTAAAAAATTATTTGTTTTATTTAAAAATGGAGATAATACCACTGACCTCATAGAATTATTATGAATAGTCAAAGAGAGGATTTATATAAAATATTAGGCACAAATCCTGGTGCTTAAGTGTTTAATAAATTTTAATTGTTGGATCTTATAGATGTTATTATCAATTATTCACTGTTATGAAAAGACACTGTGTAGTTTGGAAAAATGAATATTTTATGGTATTTTTCTTCATGTGCATCAAAGCAAATAATAATAATAACAACAACAATAATAAATATTTAGAAGATATTATAACCATTAATTTGGCCACACAGTTTATTTTGGAGCATTCACAATGTCTAGTTAGATAAATAGGATACTTTCTTCCTTTGGTATCTTTGTTATAGACGGCATTGCCTACATTTTACCTGGAAATTTTACTGCTTGGCAATAGATGACAAGGTCAGAAAGCTCTGGTGCAATCTGTCTGCTTTCTTTTTTATTCTGAGGAAGATAAAATTCTTCTCCCAGTTCCATGTCATAAACCTATCAAGAGAAAATGAGACTGTTTTCCAGGGAAGGTAGAAGTCACTCGCCTGTGCATTCCCAACGCTCTTTATCTGTACTTTACCTGGAGGGTCATCAGTGTCCTCTCCTGGCTCAGTACATATCTGCACTGGGGTCCTAACACCTCACCTGGAGTGAAAACTTTCTGAGGGCAAGAATGAGACTCATTCATCCTTCAAGTGCCTTGGGGCATAACCCACTGACTTACACAGGGAACAGCCCTAGAGAACTGACTATGTGTCTATGATGGCTCAACTTCTTTACCTATTCTATGACTCTGTCATCCAACAATGTCACTCATAACAACTCCTTCTGTAGACCCGCTCAGTCTAAAAGCTATGAGGCCCTTGAGGGTAGGGTCTGGGGATCCCATTTATCTTCCTATTCTTGGTGTTATTCCTCTTTAACACTTTACAAGCTGCCCCCCCTTTTATTTTCTTGGTTGTTATAAATGCATTTAAGACTTCATGAAATTCCCTGAACAACCAGGCTGCTCTCTTGGCCTGAATGCCCTGATTCTGTCTGTTTGGCCAAATCTTCCTTCTCATATGTCACCTTCCCTGAGGGCCTGTCCTTGATGCTCTGATAACACAGGGCAACTGCTATTCTTTGCACATGTCCACAGGTCTGTCTCCATCACTGACCCACCTCCTGTGCCGCTTCGGTGTCTGCCATACGTACACCTTCGGTAGGTATTGGTGGGATGAATCAACACCAACTTTCAATGGCAGGTGGGTGTCTCATGTTATCACTTTGGCATCCATGGGTCAGTGAGGGCAAAGGTGAAGGGAAAGGTAGGAAGGAAGTGAGTACCAAAATACTATTTAATAGAAACCATCCACCCACCTTTCCTTTGTTGTAAGCAGAGTTATCTGCCTTCTTTATCCGCTTGGGAATTTCTTCATTGTACTCAAACTGAAGCTTGTCAGTACATGATTTATTTTCAGGTCTGTCTTCCAGAATGTTGTCTGAAAATGCGTTAGCAGGCTTTAGTAACGAACAACCAAATGTGATACTTAAGGGCAACATGTACTTCATTGTGAGGGCAGGCAGACAATTGTCCTTGTCTGCGAGACCGAGGCTCTGATTACATGATACCAAAATAATGGCTTGAACTATAATTTTAGAAATTGGGTCGACATATTTAATTTCAATTTAACTTACGAATTTACCAGTTATTTTGGTACCATATAGACACAATTTAAACGAGAATGATCATTTTCAAACAGATGGTTAGAACTCTGCAAATGCTGTGGGAAATATTCTGCATCAAGAAGCTGACGGCACAAGTCTGGGAAGGATTTAGTGGTTGAAGCACTTCTAGACAGTACATATATGATTTAATCACCCTCACCTTGAAATGAAGCTATTGGCTTCTTTGAGAAATGTCAAAACCAGTGTGTGGCAGGAATAGGGGACACTTGTTGTTCTATGCAACGTGAAATTTTTACAATTACAATTTATTGGAAAACAAAGTCTTCACAATTTTAATTATTAGGTGAAAATCTTAAGAACAGGAATTCAAACTTGTAAATATATCTAAGGGTGACAGATAATTTTTTGTTCTGCTCTTTTTTTAGCATTTCTAATCAGAATGACTGTAAAAGTGTGAGTTATCATGATTATCCTCTTTTTCTTTTTTTTTTTTTTTTGGTACTGGGGATTGAACTCAGGGGCACTCAACCACTGAGCCACATCCCCAGCCCTATTTTTAAATTTTATTTTATTTAGAGACAGGGTCTCACTGAGTTACTTAGCCTTGCTGTTGCTGAGGCTGGCTTTGAACTTACGATCCTCCTGCCTCAGATTCCCAAGCCACTGAGATTTCAGGCATGCGCCACTGCGCCCGGCATGATTACACTCTTTTAACATAAAAAACAAAAAAGCGAATTTCTCACTCATCAGACTACAAATGCTTAGACCAAAATATCCTTATAGCAAATCAGGGCCATGCAGGCTGCCAAGAAGTAAACAAGACCAATCATTTCATTTACATTTGTATTCATAAAAGTGTCACAACTTCATGCTCATCAGGCCCAAGAGATCAGAAACATAATGTTGATACCCATGCAGTTAAAATGCCCGTATAGATGATGTTTACCTTCCTGACTGTTAGGAGCAGGGGAAGCAGTAAGGACATCTGCTACAGAAAAACAGAGTCAGACAGGGTATACAAGTAAGGAGAACTGAGATGAAAAGCCAGATAAATTAAACTAAGGCATGAAGCAAAGCATAAATAACAGCTTAGATCACAAGATAAATGAAACAAGAAATGTTTGGTAGATTTACTATTTTGACTATATAGGTATGCAAGAGCTAGCAATAAATATATGCAAACATTATTAATGTTAATCATGCTCTCAGTAGCCACATTCATATTACATATTTTCAGTTACGGACTGTTGTGATACTCCCAGTATAAGTTTAGTTCAATGAACAGAAATCAGTTAATTTGTTAAAATCTTGCAGTTGTTGTCATAAAATATGCATATATTAAGTGGTAAATTCAAACTTGTGCTCCAGTGTATGTTCAAAACTAGTTGAAGTAAATAGTAACATTGGAGTGAAAATTAAATGAAATAAAAATCCATTAAGAATTTATTATCCAAAAGGCAGAGTAGCAATTAGTAGCAACCTCAAATACATGACCCTCTTTGTGACTTCCTTAGGGTTTTCTTGAAATAATTCTGTGACTAAGGATCATCTCACTTTTATAGCCAAAAGTGGCTTTAGATTCATTCCTTTATCTTGTGGGTATGAAAACTGAGGACTAGAGCTATCATAGAGACACACTGGGGACCCTGACTGTAAAGAGATGGGTTTCCTCTGTGGCCCTCAGGAGGTTGATGAAACTCCTACAAATGTGTACAGAATTTTGAGAGCACATTTATTTCTCAGAGTCAACTGGTCACAGCTTCTAGTTTCTCAAAGGGACTTATCATTATAAAAAGCATGGAAAATTTCAAGATTCCCCCTAAGAGGCAGCCTCTACAGTGGGCAGAATTCTATTTTTTTTCATCCCAATTGGAAAAAGTGGAGATGGTAGAGGAAAGTAGAGATGAGCACAGTGCTAGGATCACCATTGGAAAACTACACCAGATAAGGCAATTAATAGTCACATATGGAAGCCTTCATAGGACAAGCTTCAACAAGGCACGGCACACCTGCAAGGCCTATTTGGGAATCAGCTAGTCAGTGGGATCTTCAATGAAGTGGGAAATAATCACGTGTTGGGAGTGGATAGAAGTTATTATAGATCATAGTATTAGTGCTAGCACTTGAGTGTTTGGGGGAGAAAATTACCAAACACTTCACGGAAACTTTTTATTATATATCAGTGGTACCTAAACCAAGAAGGTGAGAGGACACTGTCTAAAGTCTCACAGAGTCTGATGGGGTCCTCTTTTTCACTGATAAAAAAATAAATACAGGACTGAGGCTGTGGCTTAGTGGCAGAGCACTTGCCTAGTATGTATGAGGCACTGGGTTTGATCCTTAGCACTGTGTACAAAAACAAATAAAATAAAGGCATCCTGCCTGTCTACAACTACAAATTTTTTTTTTAAAAAGATGTTAACTTTATAAAAAATACATGCAACTATCTTAGAAATTTAGTGGGGTAGGATTAAATTTTACTCTAACTGAAAAAAAAGATCCTTCTTCCACCTGTTCATTTTGTCATTTGCAAATAAAAAATGCCTATAATAATAATGATTATAAAAAGCCTTCTTCTTTCCTGTTCTCAAAAGTACAGAAAGTTCACAGGAGTCATTTATGATGGAGAGTGAATTTGTTTTCCCCTAGACTAGTTTCTTCCAGGGTTAAATGACATCTGCATTGATTGATTTCTTCAGTGTGGTTTTCATTTCATATCTGTATCAATTTTTCTTCTGTGGGACATTACCACAACTGTAATAAAAATCCATGGGGAAGAATAAGTCCTACATAAAAATGTTCACATTTCCATCACTTTTCAGGAATAGGCTATAGGCTATAAATAAATTGCCTTTGACTCCTTTCAATTTTCTCCCTTTTTATATCTGGTTAGTTGTGACCCTCTTATTATCTTATGGAGTTTTGAGTCAAGTAAATTGGCTTCTAGTTGATGTTAGGAAACAAACAACTATTATGAAGAACAAATATTAAATGGTTGCAGCCTGATATTATATTTTGGGTCGGAAAAAAGACAGGACTGTCATCAGTGATAGAGGCTCATGGAACTGAAACATGAATTGGAGACAATCTGAGTGTGAGGAGCAGATATTGAGAAAAGAGTGGCTGAGTCGTCATAGTAAGTCAGTAGTAAGTGGACTACTGTCCACTTACTACTGAGTCGTCAGTAGTAAGTGGACTACTGTCCACTTACTACTGAGTCGTCAGTAGTAAGTGGACAGTAGTCTGGGGCTACCTATATGCTTAGCAAAACAATTAGTCAATGGAGAAACAACATATGCTACATATATAATGTTTATATAAGTAGGAACCTTGGCATTTTCTCATTACTGTATTGCTTTCTTTCAGAAGACACCAAACAAAACAGTTATATATCAGCAAAGGCGTCCGAGAAAACATTTTGCCATCTCTAGCAAATAGTATTAATTTAGAACAAATGAAACACTTGAAACTTAATTCTTACATGAATAAAGTCCTTTACTGGTAACCTGTGGGTAACATCATTCATTTGACTTTTTTGGTATTGTGTCATGTCCCCCCCTCCCTGCCCCGACCTTTGGTGGGGCCAGAAGGAAATGTCTTGTTGGCTTAGTAATCTGAGAACCAGGGAGGGAAGGGGAATGAGGCGCCTTTATTTCTATCCTTCTAGAAAGAGTCGAAATGAGAGAGACAGCATGGAGTGGTGATGCTGCCCCCTATTGGCAGTGGAGGAGAAAGAAAGGATTCAGCCACAGTTTAAAACTGCCCAGAGCCTCAGCCACATCAGAAACCAAGAGGGTGGAAGTGAACTTCTCTGCTATAATTCTCTTTCTCTAGGAATGTGCTCCCTGCACCATCCTCTTCTCTGGGTTGTGGTCATGCTAGCTGACAGAATAAATCATTTTCCTTCCTTGCTCCTCACTAGGTGCCTGGATTCAGAAACTTTCAGACAATATTATAAAAATCTGTATTCTTGATTCACAGAGTTTCAGACTTATTTTGGGATGGGAGTGTGAGAGAGAAAGAAAAAATCATTTAAGTTTTCCTTTACACACAGCATTGGACTCTTGTTTCGCTTACCATCAGAAAGGGATTCATAGTCATAATCATATTCATCCTCTTCATCTTCCTCTTCCTCATTATTGGCAGGTGGGGGATTGGCATTCCCACCATTATAAGCCTGTGCTTGCATGGATGCTAACTGATGAGCCTGTAAGAAAGCAATAATTAAATACTAAACATGCCAACCAACTGAACTTTCACTTAGAACTGTCAAAACTACCACCTAAGGCTTCCTACAGTAATTAAAAGTGGATTACCCTATTTTGATTCATTTGAGAGAGGAATAAAACCTCTAGATTCATTTGAAATGCAATGTCAAAACTTGGACAAATGTCAACATTCCTGCAGGAAGACTCCTGGAGCTTTTAGAAAGGATCACAAAGAACCTGTGTGTAGTGCCTAGCTCCCTAGGCTCCTGGGGCAAATCCTCTGAGAGAAAACTTTGGTACCTTGAAAACCCAGGATCCATCCTTAATGACTGAAGATGTGAAACAACCCATCAATTTTGGAACAGTAAGTCTGGGCTAAAAACCATCTCCCCCAGTTTTTTTTCCTTCTTAAAATAATATGAAGAGTCCTCTGATCTTAAGAACAATATTAGGATCTCTATGGACAAAGATCAAAAGAAGAGTTTCCAGTTTGAAGAAAGCTCTTTTTCAACAGACTTTATCTGAAATGCAAATCAGATTAAAAAAACAGGCTTAGAAACTTTGGGAAATTTGATGTGTGTGGGGAGGGAGGTCATTTATTGAATAAAGAACACAGAATTTTGTGTATATTGTATTTATACATATATACATATATTTATACTTGCATAATTGTATGTATTCATATAATTATATAATTTTGTACTTGTTCTATATATGTACAAAGTGTAATATATACAAAGATATTAGTAAAAGAAAAGATGGTATATGTTAACACAGCAGGGGTTCTTGATCCATTTGTGTGTCACAAATCCTTCTGGCAGTCTGGTGAGGTAGAATCCCTTCTCAGAATGATGTTTTAGATGCAGAAAATGAAATGATTACAAAGGAATTAAATAGTGTTGAATAGAGTCGTCAAAGGGTTGAAAAACAAATTTTGTGCTGTGAGGATAAATGCGCTTTTTTTCCCCTTCTTATTTACTTATTTATTTTTTTGCAGTGCTGGGGATGAAAACAGGGCCTCATGTGTGCTAGGCAAGTGCTCTATCACTGAGCTCCACATGCAGCCTCTATCCTTTTTTGTGAGAGGGAGTCTTGCTACAATGCCCAGTCTGGCCTTAAATTCCTGGGCTCAAGTGATCCTTCTGCCTCAGTTTCCCTGAGGAGCTAGGACTACAGTTGTATGCCGTGGTGCCCACTTGTTTCTTCATTAACGTAGTGAAAAACATATAGAGGTAGGTGAAGTGATGTTTTTGAAAATATGATGAGCATAAATAATTCTTGGTGATATTAGTGATGACTGTGAAGTTACCTGGAAAAAAAAAAAATCTGTCCTCTCTACTGCTGACAAAGACAGAGTGCTGCCAACACTGCGGTGGTTTGTTTCTATGTGTATAATCAGAGGAAATGCTAAATTTCAGCTAGAGGTTAGTAAAATTAAAGATGTAATTTGCTTCCACTTGCATCCAGAGGCCCCTGAGTTCTAGCTGTGGATATTACCAAGGTTAAGAATTCCTGTAGTAGAGGTTATATTGGGCCCTGGAATTATGTATGTTTTCAAATGATTCTCTACATTTTATAAAATATGGTGATATTATTTTATCGTAAAAACATATACTGAAGGAAGATAGAGTGTGGCCTATTGTCTACATCCAGATATAATGTTTTACGATGCAGTCCATGCCAGATAATTGGATATTGTCTAGGCCAGGATTTCTCAAAATGGGTTTTATAGAGTTCTGTGGATGTTAATAGCTGATACGGAAAAACTGACAATTCAGTTACCACAAAACACAGTGAAAGTTTGGAAATGGTAGCTTAACCAAACCAAAACACGTCCCCCCCTCCAGGGCTTCCCATAGCCTTTATTTAATATGCTAAAGGACATCGTGATTCTTCCAAGATTTCCAGAGCAGCAGTTCTCATGCTTATTTAACCCGGGAATCAATCTTCTTTCTTCCTCCCTCTCTTTCCTGTATCCTTCCCTCCCTCCTTTGCTTTCATCCTTTCTTTCTTTTTCTCAGAGTGTCTAATAGGACCAGTGCTCTTCAGAACTTAGGGAATTCTGTTCTAGGCACAAGTGAGCCACAAGAGCAAGAGTGTGTATCACTGATAAGAGAAAAGGCCGGACTCGATGCACTTGGCTAAGGCCAAGTTCTGGGTGGGAATGATGATGCACAGGGCCTGGCAGACCCTCCTGCAAAAAAGTGTCAGAACCATGTGGAGGAAGGATGCTATCCAAGGACTACAAACAGCAGTGTCAGGAAGCTGTGAGCCAAGGCCCTTAAATGCTTGAATACTTCCAGGGGGCAGGAAGCATGGAAGAGGTGGCTGACCAGCTAGCCAAGAGCAGATGCCCTCCTCCTTTGCAATAGCCTACTTATTCTGAGGCAGAAAAAGAAAGCCCGAATCCTTGCAGAAAAGCAGCTCAGATATAGGTTAGAGGATTCGAGCTTGGGCTCAGATGAGGAGACTGCTCCTATGGGGTCAGGCAGGAGCCATGTCTCACTCTTTTCTGTCCTGGCACCTGGCACAGAGCCAGCCATCAATAAAGCTGAACTTTTGAATTTAGGGAACTGGAGTGTAGGACACATGGTAAGACTCCTAGAGAATTCTGTAGGGTGTGGTCAGGAGGTCTCAGGAACAGCCTCAGCATAAACCTGAGGCAGAAGCTGGGATCTAGAAATCCTGCCCGGAGTCAGTTCATTGTCACTGTTGGGTGAGTTCTTTGCATGGAAATGACCCACATCTTCTAATTGAAAGGTTAGGTCCCAGCTTGCTGGAGCTGTCGACTTCACCTGGCCTCACGTGTGGTCAGTGCATCTGGTCTAGACTCACGACATGCCAGGTAATGAAAAAAAGGGTCTGAGGGTGTGACTGTGGAATCCTGGTCAGTACTTGCTGGGAGATCATGGTGGTGGCTGTGAATCCTAGACAATTGGGATGGGATAACATCATCTCATTTCTAAAGTGAGGAAGAGGTGAGTTGAGGAAATCATACTGTGGGCAGTGTCAAGGTGACACTTGACAATGTTCCAGAATAGATTACTAATTAGTTGGTTTGTGAGAACTTAGAAAATAAAGAGGGGTTTGGAAAGAGTGGACCCATGCTTCCAAGAAAAAGTCTCCTGCATAGTGACTGCCTTAGCCTTTTAGACAAGGTAACTCACTCCGAAGAAAACAGCAGGTAAGTAGTGTTTCTCAAACTTCCAAGAGATAAGAATTCTTTTTCTTTTCTTTTGGTACCAGGAATTGGACCCAGGGGCACTTAACCATTGAGCCACATCCCCAGCCCTTTTTATTTTTTATTTTGAGACAGAGTCTTACTAAGTTGCTTAGGCCCTCAGTAAGTTGCTGAGGCTGGTTTTGAACTTGTGATCCTCCTGCCTCAGCCTCCAAGCTGCTGGGATTATAGATGTGTGCCATCGTGTCTGGCAAGAACTATTTTTCAATAAATAGATGGCTTGGGCTTTCTTCCCAAAATTCATATTTTTGCGGGTGAAATTTGGGACCTTCAAATTTGCTTTTTAAAGTGCCCCAGTGAATCCTATCATTGCATCCTAACGTCTGTATTACCTTTGAAAAGTCCTGTCTGAAGACCCAAGTCTGAGTCCTAGCTCTGCCATTACAACTGGGTGGCTTTGAGAAAGTCACACAAATGGCCAGGCTTCAGTTTTCCATTCTATAAATAAAGAAGCTGAATCACAATCTGGAGCAACTTGGGCTGTAAGAGAGGAGAGCATCAGACACCCTGAATTCAGGTGGCTCTTTTGGAAGGACCTGGGGCTGTGGGCCAAAGGGCACTTGAGATGAAGACAGTTTAGAAATCTGCTAATAAATACACCAGATGACAGAAACAAAACTCAAAAGAACTTTGTAGGCTGCAATAACAAACCAAAGCAGGAATAGCCAATTTTATGGAGGTAAATATTTGATTCTCCTCTACAAGAGGTTAAAATTTATTATAAACCTGGAAATATTGAGGTATCAGGCACAAGAATAACCTGTGTGAAAAAAAGGAACTGCTTTTCTTTTGCACAAACTCAACATGAACACCGTGTGCAATGAAGAACTTAAAAATCAAGAATAGTCTAAGGTTGTAGTAACTGTGGTTTAAAATTCAAAATAAGGGAGGTCACTGTTCTCATGCCATCAGACTCCCATCTTGAGTACTGACTTAGTTTTGGAAATCCCATTTTAAGATTGGTAAATTCAAGAATATCCATAAATTTAACAATATCCCAAATGTTCTTACTCAAAGAGTCTCAGCGGCCACATCCTGTATAAAGCAGTTGACACAGACATTTAGCTTGGAGAAGAGAAAAGCTCGCAGGAAAATACCCGATGGCTTCCTAAATATGAAATTACTCTGTACAGGTGCCAGGAGACGGGGTAGGGTCAATGAGAAGGAGAAACAGGAAGGAAGATTTGGGCTCAACATGAAGAACACTTCCATAACAACATGACTTATCATTAGTGGGATGGAAGCCTGAGGTAGCTGCAAATGACTGTGTGAAGATGGGAAAGGCAAGGGCATCCAAATACATCTGGAAGACAGTGGCCTGCATGTCTCACACAGCCAGGGCAGCTCCACCTGTTCTCCAGGCTGCAGTCTTCAGAGAATAGCCTGGGGGAATGGTGCTCAGAAAGAAACAGCACCTAGTGCTAGGTGGCGCTTGGAGGAAGGGTGGTTGAGTACATTTTACTTCAGTGACTTTATAACCAGGCTTTTTGGTGCAGGTCTTGTAGGGTCTGGAACCCAACCAAATGCCAAGTCTCCTGCAGCAGTTTTGAGAGTGCAGGTCTGGATGAAAGTGCCCCTGTAGGAGGTCTCAAACTGGTGGTTCTTGGGCCAACTTCCCCTCCAGACCAGGCTCTGCTGCAACAACTTGTTTTCTTCTTATTTTTTAAGAGAAAGGATTTCACTATGTTGCCAGGCTGGCCTTAACTCAAGGGATCCTCCTGCTTCAGCACCCCAAGGAAATGGGACCACTGGCTCACACTATCATGTCCAGAGGGTACAGCATTTAAAATGCATGTATTTATTTATGTAGTGCTGAAAATTGAACCCAGGGCTTCACATAGGCTAAGCAAGTGTTCTACAATTGCTCTATACCCTCAGCTCAAAAAGACTTAAAAATCAATTGAATTAGAGCTGTTCATTTTGGGGGACTTGCACACTGCATGCCTGCCTCACCACCTCCAGTGGTTACATATTCAGCTGGCTCCTCACACTGATATTTCCTGCTTGGGCACCAGAAGGTGACTGGTTGTGTAACTTTTGGTCTAGGGTTGTATGTGGACTTCGGTTGGGAAATGTGCACTTCTAGAGCACACCAAGACTTCTAGGGATATGCGAGTCCAGATATTTTTAAAGGAGTAAGTTTCTGGACCTTCACTATATATGTGTATGTGCCCTTTTAAAAATAGGCCTGCCTAACTAGGTGCAGGGGTACATGCCTGTAATGCCTGCAACTCCAGAGTCTGAGGTGAGAGGATGGCAAGTTCAAGGTCAGTTTCAGTAACTTAGTGAGACCGTGTCCTGAAATAAAATAAGGACTGAAGGTGTGGCTCAGTATTACAGTGCACCTGGGTTCAATCCTCTGTTAAAATCTTGCCACAAAATAAGCAGATAGTTGACTGTTCTCTCTTCCCACCTCTGTTTCTCACCACTGATCTTTTTCTGTCTTACATGAAAGAGGCTGAACTCTCACCCCACAACTATCGCAGTGTAATGCCCGAGGTGAAATAAAAGGGGCACCCGAGAATGTAGCGCTCCCGAGAGAAAGTTCTGAGATGCTAATGTGGTTGGGAGGACCTTATTTCATCAGGGCAATGAACATGATTAAGACTCCACATCCCTCCTTTGTACCCTCCCTCCCTTCCTGTTCTCTTCTCAGAATCAAAATTCAAGGTCAAGATGGTCATCATGGAGATGATATTACAATGTGTATTTGAATTTAAAAGCAAATTCAGATATTTTTTTCTGACAGAAAATAAATCTGTCTGATAAGATCCATTGATTCAACTATGAGGACTATTTTGTATATCATATTTGTAAAAGTGTTTATGTAAAAATATGTGTGTATATGATAGTATTAAGACATAAATGTTTTGTAACTGTTTAAACTTGTGATAAAAATATGTAATATCATAAAGCACATGAAAGGAAAGAAAAATTATTGAGAGAAATACATAGTTTGTAACACTTGATACTTAAGCAAAAGAGTTTGAAGGCCACAGGCCCAGAGGATCCATGATAATTTTAAGTCACTCCAATTAGGGAAAACCTGATCAGCAGTGATCTGTTAGGATGGATTGGTTGAGGCCCTTTCTGGACACATTCACTTTTGTACCCAGGAGTGTGGGGGTTTTTTTGGGGGTGGGAGGTGTTACTAGAGGATAGACCTGGGGGTGCTTAATCACTGAGCTACATCCCCTGCCCTTTTTATTTAATTTTTTTTAAGTTGTCAATAGACCTTTATTTTACTTACTTATATGTGGTGCTGAGAATCTAACCCAGTGCCTCCCACATGCTACGCAAGCGCTGTACCACTAAGCCACAACCCCAGACCCTTATTTTTCATTTTGAGTCAGGGTATTGCTAAGTTGCTTAGGATCTCACTAAGTTGCTGAGGCTGGTTTTGAACTTATAATCCTCCTGCCTCAGCCTCCTGAGCCATTGGAACTACAGTCATGTGCCAGCTCCGAGGGGTAGGTTTAAAGATGATGCTTCCTCTGGCTTCACTTTTTCCTTTCTCACTGTGAAGCCATCTAAAACCATAAGGGCTTCTTGAAGTCAGGGGTAATATAACACAAATCTCCCGCTCAGCCTGGACTTTGGGCTACCTGGACTCTCAGTGGGTAAGTGGAACGATCTGGGAGCTCCTTGGGGTTTATTAGGACAGCAGGTAACAGGATGCTCCAGGGACCACTCAGAGAAGCACTAATGTTCCAGAATGGTAAGAAACCCTGGAAATGGAGACTGAAACATGGGATAATAAGATGCTCAAAAAATGGTCTCCAATTCTGACAGGGGTCTTACAGTTTGCCTTGGGAAAGATTCTATGGGAATTTAGTGCCAGAAGGGTCCTTTAAGGCCAGTTACCATAAGATTCCCATTTTACAGATGAAGAAATTGAGGCACAGAAAGATTAACTGGCCCATGGTCACATGGCTGATTTGTGACACAGTCAGTGACTAGAACCCTGTATTTTAGCTTACCACTTAGTATTTTCTTCCTGCAATATCATGTTGCGTATCATTCAGGCTTTAAACTCAGACCTTGTTTGTAAGGTCTACAAATTAAGGCTTTGAGAAGGGGTGATAATTATGCCAAGGTGACTATTTAACTAAATCCGACTAGACACTTGACTCCCTTTGACTTGACACTTCGTATTAATGGATGAGGAGAAGTTTCCAAATTCATTGTCCTGAATTCTCTGTTTTCTGGAAACCACCAAAGCAGGACTGGAATTGGGCTGGGAGGCTTGGAGGTGGTGGCACAGAGAAAAATCAAAACTTTAGGCTACACTCTAGATTGGGCTCTGAATGTCCTGCCTCCTGGGTTGTAGCCGTGCGGCTCTTGTGTGGGGCTGATTTACATGGCAATTCTTGGTTGCTGTAAGTTTCAAAAGTAATGTTTTAGGGCCAACAGCGCCCTCTCAAACAGAACAAGTACTTTTTGGCAGTTGTTACTCTGAGGGACAAATGGGTGCAGCTTGGCTTATGAATCCAGTGTCCTGAACTTGAACTTCTACACAGATGCACAGGCTGGGGTGTGGGACTTTGGCCCAGATCTCTGTGGGTGAGGCAGGAGTAGAAGTCAACATGCCACCATGATACACTGGGATCACAGGGCTATGAGGCTTCCACTACAGACCCCAAGCCCCAGAGCTCTCCCTAAAGAGGGCTCTCTCTAAATAGGGACTATGGCAATCCCTGGGACTGACAGCTCTGAACCCACTCAGAATAAATTAAAGCACAGTGTTACATTCTATGTGGGAACAATTCCACAAGAAAAATTTCAGGTAAGTGGGATGAGAGAATTTATTGGAAATGGAAAGGCAAAAAGCAAATACAACATTTAAGGGAACTCAGTGTTCAAAAATTGATTACCCAGCAGGTCCTCAGAAAGGTTCAAATGACAATTTCTTTGTTCTGGGCATACAGCACATTCATATCCTGCTTAAGAGGGTACCTTTTGCTTTAAGATGTCCACGGGCGTCTGATGGGCCTTTAGCTTCTTGTTTTTAAGAAGTACTTTCCTCCTAAGTTGGTCGGGTGAGGGAAGCATTGGATCATCTGAGAAATCAGTCTCAAATAAGAATCTAGCCACCAGCTTTTCTCCAAACACAGTCTAAAAGGAACAAAGGAAAACACACCAGGTCTTTGGTCTCCACTGGCTAAATATGTCTAGATTTCCTAAATGTACTAGATAATTCAGCCTGGCTGAATTGTTTTAAAAATCCCCGGAAGAGGAAGGAGGAAAGGAGTTGTTTATTTTCCCTCCACAGTGTCTTACTGAAGGAAGGGAGGTGTTTAGGACAGGGCGAGATCTAGGTCACTGTGCAGCTGGGGCCAGTTCTAAGATTCAGGAAAATGTCCCGGGGTCTGATGTGTTAAAGAAGAAAACAGATTCAGCTGGAGGCTGTGGTAGAATGTGGTCTGTTCCCGATGAGGATAAGAAGTCAAAGGTATATGAACCTTGGAGGGGATGGGAAGTGAGGGCAAAGACCGAAGGTAATAGGGAAAATTTGCCCCCACATAGGATAAAGAACCACAGACACCATTTTCACAAAGATTTTTGAGCATTGGTCTCTACAGCAGAATGTCTCTCCAGGAGGTGGGTGGAAGGAGGGTACACAGAGTGATCAACTGGGGTGAGGGTAGAAAAATGTGGCAATTTGTATTCTTAGAATTTTTTTTTTAATTTAAAAGGAACAAATCAAATCTTAGGCCAAAGCAATATGAAAGGCCAAATTTTTTGTTAGCATTAATATTGGGTGACATTTTACTCTGTTGATGCCCCTCCTTCCCATTAAGACCCATGTTTCCAAATGCTTCTGTCACTGGAGAGAGGGGAAGGCTAATGGAAGATGTCTCCTAAATCTGTCTGCATTACAATTCCTTTCTATAAGGAAGGCTGTCTGTCAATATACAACATTTCTGATTAGTCTAGGCTCTGTGCTAACTTGGATCCCTGAATTGTAGTATAGGTCACAAAAAGATTTGACTTAAAATAGTTTCAGTTTTTCCACATATAACTGACAGGTGACATCCTGGCATCTCTGACTTGTGTTACTAGAGGTGTCGTAAGAGTTGGTCTGTTTTTAACTCCCAAGGTTTTCTGGAAGAAGTCAGAGAACAGAGTTTATATCACTATAGCTGAAAAGAGGGGCCATTCAAGAGGAGGTCCAAGCTCCTAGGGAAGCCCCATTTCTCAGGTCTGTGGGCCCCTAGTAGAATGTGTTTCATGGCCAAAGTCCAGCTGTGGTGTGGCCCACAGCAGTCCCATTGAAAGCCCAAAGACAAGCAAGACAAAGGCCAGGATACCATCCTGCCTCCTAGCGGGGAGCTCACCTTAAAAATTTCTGCCATTTTTCGTTGCTGAGGCAATGAACAGTGGTTCTCAATGGATATGATGATTGGCAGGTCAGAGTTGATGAAGGCGCTGCGATCAATGGCCTCAACCACATCCTATGAGATCCAAAACAGTTCCTTACAGTCAGCTATTTGTCCAGGGTGGTCAGAAAGCAACGTATTACATCATAGCCAGAAAGCATCTAAATTGTTGCATTCAGCAGACTATGGCCAAAGGTGATTTTCATCCTTTTATATGTACAGTTATCCCTCAGTATAACTGTAGAGAGTTGATTCCAGGACCCTGCAGATACTGAAATCTGTGAGATACTCTAGTCTCTTATATAAAATGGGACAGTATTTTCATATAATGTACACATATTCTCCCAGACACTTTTTAGTTTTAGCATCACTTATGAGATACTTTAAGAAGTTAATTTATTGGGGGCAAAAATACACATATTATATCTATTCATGTGGGTCTACAAACTTAGTTATCAACTCATTTTCCCATCTATACAGTACAAGAGTTTTAATAGTGATAAATAGGAAAATGAGTTAAAGAGAAAATGCATTTCAGTCACTATCTGTACATATAAGATGAAAATAATAATATTCCTTCCCAGTCTGACCACCGTTCAGAGAAAAATGATATTACACAGCCAAAAACACTCTAAATGAGTAATTACACAAGTGAACTAATATGCTACCCAGAATTTGAAATAATAATCCCATGAGATCAGTCTTCTTGGGTGACCAATCTTCTCGGGGGAAATTAATCTCCTTATTTTATAATGTTAATTATTTAATTGTATCCTTCTGACAATATTGGCTTTTGTCAGAAGGATAAAAGGGCAAATTGTCCTTTATTTCTCATAGCAAGAGAATATATCCTGCCTTTATATATCATCACATCATGAAGAATTGCAATGATATCATTACATCCTAACTAATGTAAAGTAATAGTTACTAAATTTTGGTTAAATAAGAATCAATAAGAGTTCTAGATCAAATTCCAGGAAGATGAACTTGTGCACACTCTACACAATATTGCAAACATTTTTGAGAAATATTTATTCAGATCCAGCATGAGAATCCTTGATCTAAAATGTAATTTGGTAAGATGACTAATTTGAAAGACAGATGAAGATAATATCTCTTCATGATTTTACTTGAAGGAAGTGCTGAAGCATTACCTTGAAAGGAATCTTGGTTGTCAGTGTATGTCCATGATAAATAATGGGCATCCCATCATCTCCATCCCAGCAGTCCAGCTCTATGCTCCTACAGCCTTGCAAGAGGACCTGTGTGAGTAATGAATGAATCCACCCCAGATGAGCACCTGGAGAAAAAGCTTCAAATTGAACCTAGCATACAGTTTACACATCAATCAGTGTTTGCACTCAGGGATAAAACAGAAGGGTATAAAATCTAAAATAATTATTGCACCTTGGACAAAGTCCACAATTAATCTGGGTTAGGGAATGGAGAGAACAGATTAAGGTGGGAGCATTTACCAGAGCTGAATATTATTCAAAGATCAATTTGAGAGCAAAAACATATAAACTTTTTTTTTCTTTCTTTCTTTGCCTTTTGCACCTTTGATTCCTTGAAACAGCACATCTTGAAATTAGAGAGCCCAGCAAGAGCTCTATATGGTTAGATTTCAATGGAGGTAAAGGTGCTAATGTCACAGCCTAGAAGAATTAAAACCACCAATTCCTTACTGAGCGGACTAAACATTTACATGAAGCCAATCTGTATGAAATATTCTCCATTAAGACCCAAATTTAGCAATGTGGAAACTTCTTTGCTATGAAAATGTAGTAAGAAGAACAGAAGAAAGGAATTATCAATATTTTGCCTATCTAAACCCAAAACCACATCTGGAGAAGAAATAAATTCCTCTCTTCCATATGCATAGCAGATACCAATTATCGATTTTGGCACACTTATGTATGAGTATTTAACAACAAATTGCACAATTATACATGGCAATAATGCACCAATAAAAAATATGAAAAAGTATTCAGCCCACTTGCCCCTAGGCTCACAAGCGCTTCAGCAAAGTACTGCAGAAAACACCACCAATGAATCAGATCAGGTGATACCCATTGGCTGTCCTGGATCTAAAACTGTAAGCAGGGCTCCCAACACATGTGCTTGATTGGGTTTGAGCTCTGGAATATCTGTTTGAAGCAACTTCCTCATCTTCCTTCAGGACTCTACCTGTAGAATACCTTAAACAATTATCCCATGATGGAAAGGTAATAGAAACCAAGAGGCTGATATATCTATGAATGGACCTACTTATTTGAGAATCCACATAACTATTTCCATGTGACAAAAATCCATTGTTAGGGTTTAGTGGCCAAAAATTTTCTGCATCAAAGTTTAGATAGTGGAATGCTTTTTATTTTAATATTTTTTATGTGCGATACTTGCTAGGTTCTTCCCATTAAACATCATAGTCTGTGGCCTAGAATTCTGAGGTCACCAGCTCCTGGCAACAGCTAGAGTGTCTATAAGTACACTGTCTTGGGCTGAAGATTGTAATGTGGCAGGTAGGACACAAGGATGCTTCATTCCTGGGAAAGACTGCCAGGTTGGGAAGAATTGTCCAGCAACTAGCAACAGATTAGATGGGTTTTCAGCATGAAAAGACTAAATGTCTTTACCAAAGGTTGCATGACCTTAAGACCTCCATGTGTAACTAGAAGACCAGGGTTGGGAATTCCAGGTAAGAAGAACAGGGCTTATTCTCATTTTTCATCTGTTCCATAGAGAAATGATAGGAAGTAACTAGGAGGACTGAGGGAGAGTGGAGAGCGATTAGAAACAGAATGAAAGGGATCTGACACCAGTCTAATCACATCTGTGAGTATATTTGGAGGGTTCTTGTGCCTTATTCAAAAGCTGTGATAATTTCAACTTGGGTTTAATGTTAAGGAGTTTGAAAACCGAAGTCAAATAATGAAGTAGGAATAAAGCTAAGGCATTGACACTTGATTATTTTCCTGGGAGGAAAACACACACTCACAAATATGTAGACATGCAAAGATATGTATTATGTACTTATATATGTGTATATGTACAAATGCATGTATATTACATATGTGTATCAACATATGGATATACAAATGAGACATGGATATACAAATGAGACATATGTGTATATAGGTACCCACATACCCCATTTGTGTATATATGCATACACATATATATCATATCCCATCTGTGTATGTATATCTATCTCTATCTATCTATCTATCTATCTATCTATCTATCTATCTATCTATCTTCATTTAAATTTCCCATAGAACAACGGATTTCAAATTTCTTTTGATTTGGAATTCTCTGTGCAAATGAAAGGCCAACATAGAAAACCCATAGAAGGGAAGCACTTCAAGGAGTCGGGAAGGGTATCCAGGATTCCCACCCTTCCTATCCTGTGGCTCGCTCATCTCATTGTCAGCAGCTGAGGCCCCTTAACAGCCTTCTATTTTGAAAATTACTACCCCAAGGACACTGAATCTTCATTTCACTATAAAGGTCCCTTAGAAAACAGTTAAAAATGCATATTTCATGCTAGATCATCTTTGGGACAAAATGTACCTCTTGCTGTGAGGAATATCTGGACTAATCCAGAGAACAAAAGAATCCCATTGCTGCTGGGGTTGTGTAAATAATACTGATATGATTTTCAAATTTGGGCCTGTAGGTACACAACCACACACTTATATTCCCTGGACCCAGCCTAGCTCTCTTCTGGTTAACTTCTTGTGGGCATTCAAAAAACAGGCAGCTTGAAAGAGGAAGTTGAAGACAATATAACAGACAGGCGACGGACATGCAGACCATTGAGAACTGGATGTGTAGGTCAAAAGGATGTGCTTTTCCCAGTCCAGACAGCCCACTTTTTCATAGAGCATTCCCATGAATTCAGAGGGACAGTGCCTCCCGTCTGTGCAATTTTTTTTTTCCCCTCAAGTTGGTTACCATAGGGACAGATTGACTGTCTAACAAATTGCAAAGCAAAACAAACAATATTTTGGGATTAGCTCTGTAAGAAAGTTGCATTTTCTACTACGTTTTCCCACTACAATATATTGATTTATTTAGCATTTAGTGAAACGATTAGATAGTTTTCCCATGGGAAAATCTAATTTTGGGAGTAGGTCAGACTCAGATCTAAAAGCTAGGAGTCTCAAACAAATACTTTTTTTGTGTGTGTGTGCCTAGAATAAGGGTTAAGTATAGATGGAGAAAACAAACAAAACAAAAAGAAGTAAAGAAAACAACTGCTGTATGTATAGGCAGTTTTCCCACACATCATGGCTCCTTACGTTTCACATGTCCTAGTTTATAAGCTCTTTGAAGGAATCGGGGGTCAGGTTTTCGTGACCTTGGGGGTTACATAAATAATGAGGTTTAATGGAAACCACATTGCAAGTGGCCTTCTCGGTACCTGGCTGTAGAGTTCTACTGAGGATTCTCCTTTGAGCTGATGGCCCGTGAGGTAGGTATTGTGTGAAGACTCAATGTAATAGTAGGAGAGGGGTAGCTGCAATTCTTTTAAGTTCTCCTGTGACTCATCATTTTTCGAGGCAAAATTATCTTTATCCATCAGAAACCTAGATGAAACACACTTTCTTAAGACTGCATGAGAGCAACTGACATTCTTAAATGATGGGCAAAAGATCTTTTAAAAGTTACCTTGCAAATCCTTCAAATGACATTAGGCCCTGATGACACATGTTGATACTAGGCTCAAACTTCTGCATGGGATACAAAAAAAAAAGAAGAAGTGTTATTTAGGTAAAGGAAACTAAGCGGGGAAAAAAACCACCACATGATTTTTTAAACCTGTTCTTTTTTCATCAGGAAACATCTAAACCAAATATTTGAACTAATTTAGTAATGTACCAGTAAGATGTAGTTTTTAGCCCAAAAGAAAATATTTATTATATGTGAGTTTATTATACTAAGCATATTTATTTAAGAGAAAAAAGGGGAGCAAGAGAAAAGAATAAGGCTGATTTATATGAAAACAAAGCATATCAGTTTATCCAGGTGAAAATGGGGATAATAATAGCAGTTACCATTGAGTAGGTGGGAGGTGAAAAGAGATAATTTGCATAGGGCACTTAGTACCGCATCTGATCTAAAAATACAGTGGGCACAACGACATGATAATATTCCCGCCTTTTTTTTTTTGGTACTGGGAATTGAATTCAGGGCACTTTACCACTGAGCTACACCCTAGTCCTTTTTGCTTTTTATTTTGAGACAGGGTCTTGCTAAGTTGGTGAGGCCATCCTTCTTTCTCAGCCTCCCAAATCAATGGGATTACAAGTATGTGCCACTGTGCACAGCTACTCACATATTTTTAGTGATCAAGTCCAACTGCTGGATAGCTAATCCACAGATTCCCAATCACACACTACGGCTAATTCTGAGGAAAGTGATGCAGCCACACTGCACAGCATCCCCACAATCTCTCTAGTCTACACCATCACCACCTCTTTCTTGCCTGGGCGACTAGGATAGTCTCCTAACCAGTCTCTGCCTCCATCCCTCAGCATAGTTTATTCCCCGAAGTGGTCAGAGCGACCTCTTGAAAACATAAATTATGTTACTCTCCCACTCAAAACTTTCCAAAGGCTTTCCATTTCACATGAAGTCAAGTCAGCCTCCTTCCCATGGCCTAAAACGCCTAGATAATTCAGCCCCTGAAACTCACTTAAAATCATGTCTGCCACTCTCTGTCTGGCTCATGTAGCTCCCCTAATACTAGCTTTTTTGTCATTCCTCTTAAACCTGGAGCTCACTCCTGCCTCAGCAAGTTTGGAATGCTCTTTCTTCAGAATCTCACATGACTTACTCATTTAGGCTCTGTCTAAAGGCCACCTCCCCATAGTGGCTTTTGCTTAATTACTCCTCCTTAGCCTTCTCACATCACTCCATCCCTTACTTTGCTGAATTTTCCACATAACTCATTGTTATCTGAAATTACACTATATCTTATTTATTGTTTGCCTCACCCATTAGAATGCAAGCTACACTGAGGGTCAAAACTCTGATCTCATTCATTAATTACTATATTCCCAGCTCCTGAAACAGAGCTAGCATAGTAGGTGTTAATACATATTTATTAAATGAGAAAAGAAGTTGAAGACCTAGACTAATTCTGTTGTGCATGCTAGAATAACAAGGAGGAATTATGTACTGACTTTTTTTTTTTTTTTTTGATGCTGGGGATTGAACCCAGGGCCTTGTGCATGCTAAGCAAACACTCTATCAACTGAGCTATATCTGCAGCCCCATACTGACTCCTTGTAATGGTCTCTGAGTCATGGACAGCATTGGGTCTATGTTAATTATGTGTTAAATAAAACATTAGTATATTTGATATTTAAAGACAAACAAAAGAACAAAACAAACAAACAAACAAAAACCTCAAATTGTCTCAGATGTGAAGACTTTGGAAAGAAGCATAGAAAGAATAAATGTTCAGCAGCAAATTATCAGAGAAGTCAGAGGCATTACACGCAAGTGCACACACACAAAATGAGCACAAACCTGGATGATGCTGAGGATCTCATCGTAAGTGCAGTGTTCCCCTTGGCAATTCACCAGGAAGTCGTTGAGCTGGAGAATGCCAATCCCAAATATGCCCAGGGATGTGCTCTCGATCCCAGTGCCATTTGTCACAATGCTTGCAGCAGCGATGGCATCAGATATCTGCCTCTGGTTGTCTGAAAGCTGCTGTTTGCTCTTAATGAACAACCCCAAGTCTGAGACGTTTCTGGTCAACAAATCTGAAACAAAGTCACCCACACAACATGGACTCTTGTCATGCCAGCATCTTGCACAAGGTACATTTCGCAGATAATGGTGCTATGAACTCATTGAACTGGAGAAGCTCTTTATTAATCAAGCTCAGTGTTGACATCTGGCTTCACACAGTTGAGGGAATAAAAAAAAATCAATCAATCAATCAATCAATCAATCGATAAGAGCTAGGTTGATGATATTGAAATCCTATGAGAATAAAATGTAGCTTCAGCAGGGACTGGAGGCCAAATTTAGAGTTCAGTTTTTGAGAATAACTACATCTACATTTTTCTTTATGTAAAGACTGAAGATGTAGTCTTAAAATTATGGTTTTCCTGTGCTTTCAAATTATAACTACCAACAATTGTACGTAAGTTTTTCTGTGAATACAAAATTTAAATCTTTTGGGTAAATTTCCAAGGAGCCACAATTGCTAGATTGTACAAAAAGAGTATGTTTAGTTTAGCAAGAAAATGTCATACTGCCTCTCAAAATAAATATTTGCACCTTTTTACAACTCTACCAGCAATGTTTTAATGGTCTAACTGGTATACATTCACACCAGTTATTTTAATTTTCACCATTCTGGAAGATAATCTGGCAGTTTCTTATATTGCTAAACATGGACTTACCATATGATCCAGCAATTGCATTGTTAGGTATTTACCCAAAGAACTTCAAAACTAATGTTCACACACAAACCTACGTACCAATATTTATAGCAGCTTTGTTCATAATTGCTAATACTTGGAAGCAACCAAGATATCTTTCAGAAGATTAATGGATAAACAAACTGTGGTACATCCATACAATGGAATATTATCCAGCTTAAAAGAAATGAGCCATCAAGTTGCTACAAAACATGGAGAAAACTTAAATGCACATTGCTGAGTGAAATAAACCAGTCCGAAAAACTATACACTATATGATTCCAATGATACAACATTCTAGAAAGGGCAAAATTATGGAGAGAGTAAAAAGATCAATAGTTTCCAAGAATTTGGAAGACTGAAGGGAGGATGAAAAGATAGAAGAGAGAATATTTTCAGAGTAGTGAAATATGCAGGATACCCTTATGGTGGATATACATTATACATTAGTTGAAACTAAAAGACTATACAACACAAAGTGATCCCTAACATAAACTATGGATGTTAGTAACTAACAATGTATCAACATTAACTCGATTATAACAAATGTAATGCAAGGTACTACTAATAGGGGAAACCTGGGTGGGGGTAGGGGTATGGGGTTGGTATATGGGAACTTTGTATTCTGCTCATTTTCCCATAAGCTTAAAAAACAAAATAAAGTCTAATTACTTTTTAAAAAGTGCAGTTACTTGACTAATCCATAGTTATACACATTTTGAACAATAGGTAAATTCTTAGCTTAAGGATAACATAAACATAAATAATTTTGAAGCAACTGCATGAAAAAAGAAAGTTTTTTATTTTGCTTCTTTGCATTTATAGTTCCAGCAAGAACAGAGGAGAAAATGACAGGCTTAACATGTGCAGGTGACTAAAAAATAGCATGAATGGTGATGGTAATGGTGATGATAGCCAGGGGAATAGAACGAGACACTGTGGTGTGCATAGTAGGAAAAACATCTTGGATGTTCATATAGGAGGACTCTGCTGTGGTCACCAAAGACTGTCCAAGTCAAAGGGCAGGCAACTCCTGCCCTGGGATTGAGCACCCACCTGCCTATAGGTAGGAAAGAACCAGGTGTTTCTCAACTGTGACACACCACGCACCTCGTGGACATTTGGAAACGGTCAGGAAAGGGTTTTTGGTTGTTGGAATGACTGGAGGGCACTACTGGTTAAATATCCTGGAACATATGGGCTGAACAATGATGAATTTCCTTGCCCAAAATTTCAATAGCACCTGCCCCAAATGATCTCTTGAAATAATTCAGTTCCACCAAACTCCAGGTAACAGCACATTATTGCAAAAGGCTGGGAGCTTGTGTGACTGGATCTCTGACCTTGATTTTTAGACAGAAATTTCTCAAAAGGGAAATCCTAAGGTATTAAACAAACCTAGGTCAGGCTGAAGGTCACTGGTGTTCTCCTCAATTGTCAGGTTGGTGTAGAGTGGGGCCGACTCAGAGCCGGATCGGTTGCAGGGCACGCAGTAGACATCAAAGAGATCCTTCAGGTCCTTGCGGCTCCTTACGCTGAGCGAGGAACAGAAAACAACTCCCATGTAGTATTGTTATAAACATGTGGGCCCGGGAAAGAGTAAGAAGGACTTCAAGGCCATACCTGAATGATTTGAACAGCTCAACAAATTCAACAAAACTCATGTTACTGTCTGAAACCATGAAGCTCTGGAACCCCTTCATTCCTCCTTTGATCCGCCCGTGCCAGCTGCTACTGCTCCAGGCACTGCAGAAAGACAGGGCTGTCATGGGCAAACTGGGATGCTCCAGTCACTCTGCCCCAACACATGTTTTCTGGTTAGCAACATGAGCAAAATGATGGATTGCAAGTCATTTAAGTCGATTCTGTTTTCCTCTCCTCTCTTTCTATTTCCCTTGATCTACATTGTGTGAGGAAATAAAATGAAATCTGTTGAAGCCACATCATGTTTCCATCTGATTTAATAAGGGCACAAAGTTAAGGTTAATACTCCTCTACTAATCAAAGCAGTTCTTTGAAAACCACAGCTCAATGGGGGTAAAACTTCTAAGTTCAGTGATTCTGAAGAAAAGTCACTTTTAAATGAGACCAGAATTACTCAATCATAATCCATGGAAATATATGTGTTCTTTTCTATAATCTGAATTAAAGGAACCCATTTAAGAGGAAAGTTTTAGGTACTGCAGTATCTTTTCTTCTTCCTTTCTTAATCAGTTCTTCAATGAAAATAGGGAAGAGCTTTTAATATTAATGGAAAATGTGAGTCAGAAAACACATTAAGAATGGAAAGTAGCCAAATCTGCCAAAGGATTATATCTGTATCTGCGACGGCTGCGACCATTCAATATAAAAATGTCAGTCAAATGAGTCAAAAACTATCTCCATGTTTCACCTTTTAAATTTTCTATACTGATTTCCTGACAGAATAGCAAGTGAAATGTTTTGATTATAGTTTTTAGTCAAATTAATGAACATAATCTTTGTTTTTATTACCTTGGGCTTTTAAAAAAATATTTCAAATATGTAAGAGAGTACAGAGAATATAATAATAAACAGTCACAGTCTATTCTCAACCTCACTAACAATGTTTGGTGAGGGAAAATTGTTTTGTGTTGACAGCTGAAGGTCACCTCCCTCACTGGGACAGCATCACCAATTGACAGATTTACAGGCTTAGGTTGTTGAAAATCAGCACAGAGCAGGACATAAGAAGCATAGGTTCAGGAAGGGGAGAATTGTGGCTTCAACATTTGCATTTAAACAATAAGTTCACCCTGTTCCTTACTTCTAGCCTCCTGACTGTAGGACTCATCTCCTGACTCTAGGAAGCTCTATGTCCACTCTTTCTCCTGCTAGACTTAGGGCTCAATCTTGCTTTCTCCTTTAACAGCATTCTGGCTGATTTTCTTCTCTTGCTTTGTTTTTTCTTTCTGTTTTAGAATGGTTGAGTGGGTATGGACCCCTGGGGTCTCCTGGGTTGGGGCCTCTGATCTTTGATCTGGCATGTTAGTTTTCTCTTTCAAAAGAGTTTTTTCTGCTCATGAGTGACTGAAGTAAAGGGAAAAGCCATTTAATCAAGGTTGTTTGGCTATTTTGTTTCCCCAGGATCCTGTATAGGCTGAAAGTAAAATGTAAAGGGAACCAACTCTTTGTTAACTTTCAGTTTTGTTGTAAACCTAAATTTGAAGAAGGTTTCAAGGGTGGTAAGAAGAATTCCTATATTCCCTGACCCATTTGAGCCAGTTGTAAATATAAAAAGGTTAACGTACAAGTTCCTTACTCATTGAGAGAAAGAATTCTTCTATGTGTGTGTGGGGGGGTGGGGATTGAAAGCAGAACCTTTCGCATGCTAAGCAAGAATGCTACCAGTGAACTATCCCTTGGCTCTTTTCATTTTGAAACAGGGTCTTGCTAAATTGTCCAGACTGACCTGGAAATTGGAATCCTACTGCCTCAGCCTCCCAAGTAACTGGGATTCAAGGCAAGCATTGCTTTGGCAAGATTCTTTCCTTTAAAAGATAATTTGCTATAGTATTCTTATCAATAGGGAGAGAGAGAGAGAGAATATGAATGAATGAATGTGGTGTGTGCATGTGTGTAGTGTATATATGTATGTGGTGTATGTGTGTGTGTGTGTGTGTGTGTGTCTGTGTGTGTGTGAAATTGACATTTCCAAAATCAATGTGTGCTCAGACTCACTCCTCTGTGGATAGGTGAAGAGTACCTGTTTTATCGTGGTTCTACATGAATTCTCTGAATTTCTTTAACTTTATTTGAAATATTTGAACTATATGAGTGGAGGGAGATGTAGTAGCCATTCTTGTTCTCTCTGGAAGTCTTTCATTTTAACATGTTTCTTTTTCTGAGAAGGTAGATTTTGTTTCAAGTCTGCTATTTATATGAATCTTATATGATAATTTAATATAATACCAGCTTTAGAATTATATGTAAACATATCCAGTAGGCTTACATTTGAATTCATTTCTCCAGGCATGTATAACTTTTCTCATATCTGAGGATTAAGTATATTTCACCAATAGTGAAGTGCCAGGTAGCTTATATTAAAACTTAAGTTATTCTTCACTTAGAGCAGTACTAAGTACTAGCCGACAGAACTTCTTACAGTGATAGAAATGTGCTCTATCTGCAGTGTTCAGCTTTGTGACCATTAGCCACTTGTAACTATGGAGCACTTGAAATGTGGCTACTGTGATGAGAAGCTGGCTTTTAAATTTAATTTAATTTTGATTAATTTAAATTTGAATTCAAATACCCACATGTGGCTAGTGGCTACTATATTGGACAGTGCAGATTTAGAGAATCACAGCTTAGATTTTGTCACAGCTACTTTGAAGGGTTGGTCTCTCAAATAAGTAAGCACAATCAGAAGGTAGTATAAAACCAAGAAAATTGGGATCATTTAAAATTTGGAACCTGTCTTTCCACAGACAATTGGAAGCATGTGCCCTTCCATACAACTGGAATGATGGGAAGGGCCCTTCAGTTTTATCATGTTAAGGCCCCACCTGGACGGACTCTTGTTTGAAGAAGACAGCACAGGGGAGGAGACTGGCCTGATGGGAGATGACGTCCCGGCAGCCAAGTTGGGGGACCCAGCTGTAGTCAAAGAGTGGGCTCTTCTGGAAGGGAGAGGATTGGGAAGGCTAGCGATGGCATTCGCCTCTGTAAGGATGAAAGATGAAAAAAAAAGAACTGCTCATATTGTATTTTCCTCAGAAATCAAATACAAACCAAAGATGTCTGAGCAAACCAACCTATGCATCAAAATATTTTGATGAATGGACTAATGTGGTGGATTCTCAACTGGTTACACATTACAATCATTTGGGGAACTTAAAAGTATACAGATGCCCAGGTTCTAGCCCCAAAATGTCTAAATCAGTCAGTCTTGGGTGTGGCCAGGACTTGGAGATATATTCTTAAAAGCTCTACTCTCTAGCCAGGGTTGAGAATCTTTCATCTAATCCATCAAATTGTATCTTGTTCATCAACTATTACCTGCCAATAATGGCAAGTTAATTATAATAATGTGAGAATTTTGTTCCAAGTAGATTATGTTTGTAGAAGTGCCTTTTAGGTACTTTTAAGTATCTTTTTGGTTTCATCATCTGGTTTTTTAAAAAAAGTATATTTAAGTTTTGTTAAGAATGTCTACAATGCTTAAATCACAACTTAAACCAAATGTGTTTTTCCTATAACATTAAAACTCACAAATCTCCTGTACCTGATTCTTCTTGTTCATTTGTATCTTGAGGATCAGAACCACTCCGGCCTCGACACTCTTTGTACATTTTGACCTTTCGAGTTGCCATCTCATCGTCAGTTGCCTCTCCACTCTCACCCTGGGAACACAAAGATCAGATGGCTCCTGGCCCGTTTTTTCACTCTCCCCACAGCTGCTGTTTGGGCAGGGCTCTATTCTAACCCACTCTCCTTCGAAACTCTCTCCCCCAGCTGAGGCCAGGAAAGACCCGTTAAGGCTGACCACGTGTCCTCCTGACATGCTGCCCAGTTTGTTCTTCATTGCAAGGCAGCTAACAGAGGGAGGCCGAAAAGAGGACACATATGAGCCCTGGAATCTCTGTGTACAGACACAATTGTGAAGCAGATAAAGGTCTGCTGTTTATCAACAGCCTCGTGTATGTAAAAAAGGGCATTTTTTTTTTTAGATAGTCACGAAGCAAATATGCTATCATGTTACAGTGGTTAAATATGATTTATAGTATATTGTGAAAATATATCTTAGGTAGTGTTCCACATACAGCATTATGGCCCTCTAGGACCTTCATAATGTGACTCCTGTTCTCTTTTAGCCCCTTCTTGCCCAACTCAGTACTGATGCTTCAGCTACCCAGAGTGGCCTGTGCTTCCCTGAACAAGCTATGACTCCATGCCTCTCTGCTGTCTCGTCTGCCAGGGCTGCTGTCCTTTGTATTATTTGCTTGGCGAACTCCTACACATCTTTCTAGACCCATCAGTGAACTGCTCTGTGCCGTCTTCTCTGCCTGCCTCTTAGCTCTGTATTTTTCTTCTTGCTGGTCCCATAGCAAAGGATTGGACAGCAACTTAGATTGCACTGTTTTGTTTATGTCTCTGAATTCTTCTATGGACTTCACCTTTTCCTGGTGTTGGCTTGGTTCCTGGTCCTGGCCTTGGTAGCAAGAGGTATGTGACATTTGTTTTATACCCCATGTAGTCCCCAACTCAAATAACCTAAGGTGATATAGGCCACACAATAATCCTGGAAGATTGAGTATAGAGCTTAAGAAGCAAATAACACAGTACCCTCATGAGGGTTTTCTTCTTTTTCTTGGCGGTGCTTAGGCCCAGGGTGTTATTTCGCTGCACATTGGGTTTCTCAGCATTCTTTGCTGATGTCCCAGGGCTGGGGTTTCGAGTACTCCATCGTCTGCCACCAAACAACTCCACAGCATGAGCCAAGGTTGGGCCTTCATACCGGCCATCCTCCTAAAAAGAACCACATGCTGAACAAATAAGGAAGGGGCAAGCAATGTGGAAGTAAATGTATTAATGGTTCCCAGCAAATCCCCAGAGGTGGAGAGGCACAGGCAGCCACGTAAGAATAATTGACCTGGCCACCCATGTGGTTCTGGCTGTGTTTTCTGAATCTTAGAACTCCCTGCTGAACATTTCATAGGGTTCCCTGCTATCCTGGTCACATCCTGATAGGATCTGGTGATGTGCTTTAAACAAACATCAACTGGGATAAAAAATATTTTGCATCCTGGCTTCAAAACTAACACTGTAGGAGAATTCATTAAGACTTACTTTGCAAATTGATCCTTTGGAGGACTTGGTGGTCTCGAGAGTTGAAAACAGGGTGGGGATCTATTTAAGTAAAATTAACTTTTATTTGTCCACTACTATATCACATCAAGTAGATTCTCATCTAATTTGATGCTCAGGAAAGTCTGACTTGAAATAGAGGGGATGTGGCCTATGTGAAATTCACTTTGGAGGGCCCTGGGGAGGTCCTCAAACAGTTGAGTTGTCATCCTCTTGAGTGATTGAAATCTGAAGATGGATGGAGAGCTCATGGGACTTAGAATACCAAGGAGATTATGATACTGTGAGCAGCAACACACACTCAAGGGGGAGATAGTGGTTTACAATAGCTACTGCTTGCAAGGCAACTCTGAGCAACATCTTTTAAATGAGTAATGGCAGGGATTTACTTAACTAAACAATGGTCAATGACTCGTTCCACAAGTCAGCAAAATCAGTTAATAAAACCACAAAAAGCCACATCTAAATTAAACACAATATTGCTATTTCACACACTGCATAAAAGAGTTTCTTTAAAATTAATTTCCATGTACTGTCTCTACTTTCTGAAAATTTTAAGAGTAGTCCTCCTTTACAGTTCCAAGGAAGTGCTTGCTAACAGTGCTTTGCTTTGTTGCAGATCATATGCAAATAATAAAGAGAATTTGTGTGTGCATGCTTACTCCTTCATCCTAATGTTCAGTGACTATCTGATTTTATGACTTGCTGTGAATACTACCTTTTGAATCCCAGGATGCTGAGTAACTTGGGCAATTGACATAGAAACCTTTAGGTGACCTCTTGTAGTGGGACATCTGTAACTTATGCCTGTCCATTATCCACTTCCTTCTTCTCCAGCCATTTCCCAATTTTACTTTATCTCTTTTCCATTGAATATAATCTCAATGAATCTGTTGATCAAAGTGGAATAGCATCCCTTGACCAATGATTGGTGCATGGTCCAAATAAACCAATCCGAATCTTTCTCCCTGGAATGGGATTCCTGAATGCAGCAATACAGGGGATGAACATGGCTGGAGATCATTCCACTTGATTCAGGCCTGCTGAAGAGAGCCCCTGCTGAGAGTCACTAAGAGTGACTCCAAACTGGGATGAACATTTCATGACACACTTTAGCAAATAGTTTTTAACTGCTTAATGAATAATATACTCTATACAGTTGAAAGAAGTTTTGTTAAGCCTTTACCTATGCATTTTTAGCCTACACATCTTTAAAATTTCAATAGATCTGTTACAGTTTACACATAAAAGAATCAGCCCTATTAGCTTTTGCTGTTTGGGGTTTTCTAATTTCAGAACATCCCAACATGGACCAAAACTTACCCTTCAAAATATTAGGCCAGAAATAGGCAGGGTGCCTTTTTTTTTTTTTTCAAATATTTTAAGGAAGCTTTCTGGGAACTAAAATGCAGTTTGAATCTTTTGTTTTTTTTAAGATAATAATCTCTTGTTTGGGTAAAGGATATATCTTCTTCCTTATTGTGTGAGAAGGACTGTTGAGTGTGAAGGCATTTTCTCAGATTTAGAAAAGAGTTCACGTGAAGAAGACTAGAAAATTGATTCCTTTTAATATACCCACACACTTTTACCTCTTGGCATATCTTTCATATGACATTTTGAACACTGTTAAACTAATCTATACCCCTGTAGATTGTGAGAACCTGTTTCTGTTGATTACAACCAAAGATGTTTACCTGATAATCCTGTATTTACCCCTTGCAGCTTTCAGAAGCCCCTTCCAAATACCCCCAGAATTATCGGCTCTCAGCAATGCCCAGGAAAACCTGAAGCCAGAGCTCATATGTTAGTTTATCTTTCTTAATTAACATCAATGTTTCTGGACAGTTTACTGTCCTTTATTTTCATGTTTTCTCCTCCAATGCTGGAAAGATTATTTTTATTGCTTATATAAACATTTCCCAAACTGGGGATAAAGAAATGCTCTTCTAGGACTATTAACAGAAGTTTGGAAAAATCCAAGAGATTTCTCAAAAATGTTTTTAACTTATAGATAGATATTTAAATAGTTTATTTTATTTTTTTTGAACTAGGACATATCAGAGCACTTTATGGGCTAACGTGTATTATAAATAATTTTAACATTATGCTAATGCTACATAGCACAGTCAGTTTTAGTTAATCAGCTAAAATGGAAACTAAAATATCTGCTTCCTGTGTATTCCCCAGGGAGCTTTCAGTGTGGTTGGCTACTTGGAAAAAAGGTCTTCAGGGGCTCTTATGAGAATTGATTTTTAATTAGGATTATTCTTCTGCCTTGTAGAGTCAGGAAAAATCCATCATCCATGGACATTTAACATTTAACAAAAGATCCATTTGGCCTTTTGCTCTTTAAGTAGCAAATCCATTTGACTGTCCCTGAGACAATTTAGGAAACTGGTGTACATTAGTCTATATTGGTCTGTTGGCCTTTTCCACGTTTTTCTTCTGGAAGAAACTTTGAATGTCTATTTTCAAGGCATGGTGCCTGTCTTCTTAAGTGACTCCTGTAGCATGATCTCTGAGGAAGAATTTCCACATTTCTTAAGTGACAGAGATACATGGAACTATCTGGCTTCTACCCTGCAGTGTCTTAGTTCCTGTGGAGGATGGGGGCAGGGCTCTGTTTGCAGTGTTAGACTGGGGCTTCTCTTGGTCCCTTCTGTCTCTGCTCCAATGGCACTTTTTACCTCTTCATCTGCTGTCCTTGGTTTTAGCTTGTGCCTCCTTCAGCAAAAGCTGAAGGCTGCAGGGGTAAATGAGAAAGCAGTACATTTTATGCATGAATCCAGTTACTTATGCTATCATCTTGAGAAGAAAACAGATGGAGAAACTAAAGCACATAGGCTTTGTGACCGGGGTTGTAATTAAGCTCAAAGACTGACTTATGTCTATGTTTGATGGTTTTTTTCCCTTGACTCTGCAAGGTTGAGGAATAATCCCATTTAAAAATCAGTACTCATAATAATCCCTAAAGGCCTTTTTCCAAATAGTTCACAGGCACTGAAAGCTTCCCGTACAACACACAGGAAGCAGGTATTTTGGTTTCCATTTTAGATGAGTTAACTAACACTGGTTTTGTGTGATGTAGCATCAGCATATATGAATATATAGGTCTCTCTGTTTACTAATTAATTACTCAAATTAGTTATTCAGGATATGATCTCTGCTTATAATCACTCACGGGTGTGGAGAAAGTAGAAAGAAGGGGCATTATATGTGTCTCTGCTAATTTCCTAGGAGGAAAAATGTTTTGAGAATCATGTTATAGATGAAGTCATCCATGTGAGTAATTTTGGTCATAATTCTAATTGTCCTATGATACTAATAAGAAAAGACATTTTCCCCATCAAGACAGAAAAGCATAATAAATTAAAACTGAATACTTTGATATGATCAAATTGACAATGCCATTTCAACAGCGTCACCTTATGGGAGGATTTATGACTCATTTTCTCAGCAATATACCCTCTCCTTCCTTGACAAGCATGATACTCTAGTTAACGCTGGTGTCTCTCCTCACCATCTCATTTAGCCCAGGCCTGTCACCACTCTAAGCTGGAGTGTTGAAGGACCTGACAACTTAGGGTTAATGAAAAACTCAATTTAAGCAGCTGGTTTTTGAAAATTGCCTGCTAAGGGCTATTGTCACTGTAAACCTAGTGAACATGAACTTCAGGTAAGAATGATCACACATTTGAGAGGCTTTCTTTTAAACTCAAAAGTTCTTCAATTAGGCAGCAATCCAATAAGGAAAGTAGCTCTCCAAGAGCCACACAACACACTAGGCAATGAATCAGGATTTCAGTTTCCAAAGGGAAGGTTTCCAATGTATCAGCTATTCTCTAATTAATAATAAAATCATTCAGATTACCACATTTTTGACTGAAACCCTGCGTCAGTGAAATTGTTTGTGCTAACTGGCTTTTTTCTAGATTAAAAAACTATAGTAAGCATAATCACTATTACATACAAAACAATAACAGGGCCTACCATGAGCAGACACTGTTCCTTATACATTTTAATTTACATTGTAGCTTTATACATATTAACTCAGTTCTCATAGGTAGACAACAGGTATTATCATTTCCATTTTATAGATAAGAGAACTGTGGTACCAAGAGGTTAAGTAAAAAATGCACAAGGTCACAGAGGTGGTAAGTGGCAGAACTGGGAACCTGGTGGTCTAATTGCCAAGTGCCTGTTCTTGAGGATGACGGGTTCTGGAGTGAGGAATGGCTGCACCCCTTACCTGATAGAGGCTCACATACTGTTTCCGCAGCCACTGCTGTCTTTGGTCGGGGAACCTCCTCATCTTTCTCACGGCTCTAGTGAGTTCCAATAGTCCACTGAAGAGCATTTTAGCTGTGTGCTTTGGTGCCACAAAGTGCAATAGTCTATTGTCCGTGGTTTGAAGCCCATAGAGAAGTGTCACACCAGTCTCTGACAGAAGCATGCTACCCAGTTTGTTCTGAACACACACAGTGTGTATATCAATGCTAGGGTGTCCCATGTACACCGCCTTTGCTGAAAACAGATCTAAGACCCCCTCCACCAGGCCGCTCAATACAGCATTGCCCAGTAGCGGGAATTTGCCGGGCTCGACGGTGTTACTGAGCGCACTGAGTTTTGCCTTAGCGCTGGCTGGGGAGGCGGTGGTGGGCTTTGTCCAGGTCAAAGTGCTATTGTCAGGCTGAAGCTGGAGGAAGCATCGGGCAGAGAGGTGTGTGTCCTGGTCATAGTGGATGACCGTGGCCCCCTGAAGCAGGAACTGATGCACATCAGCTTGGATGGACAGCACATACCAGGGGATGAGCTCTGTCCCATGGGCAAAGGCCTTCTGTGACTCCTCTGATCCATGATGATCACATTCTTTGGCTTGCTCAAAGATGTCATTTTCTGAGTCCAGCAAATCTCCAATTATAAACCTGATGGAAAAGAGACACAAATTTGGTGTGTCTTATAATCAGAAGGGGACCAATCACAAGCCTTTTACTCATACTGGACTTCATGTTTCATCCTACTATAAATTAAAATAGAAAATAGAAAATGCTAAATGTCACTGGGTAATTTTTTAGAATGGCATTCTAAAATCTTACATTTAGCAGGGTGTCTGATCATAGGCCTAAGAAAGGAACTAGTAGAGGCATTATTATATTTTTATTATCAACAACCTTAATCTTGATTATATACTAGTTTTTCCTCTGGTGTCAGGAACAATGTTAAAAACTTTATGAATATTTTTGCATTAAATCTGTTCTACTTATGAAGTAAGTTTTATTTATTTATTTTGTTTTATCTGTGGGAAAAAAAACAAGGTTCAGAAAGAGAAAGCTGAGGTTACCCAGCTTGGAAAAGGCCTAACCAAGGTGAGATTCTGGTCTGTCTACACTCTATAACCTGGGATTGAGTAGGTTTATTTGCCTTCCAGTTAAATCACAAACAAAAATCATGACCTGAATACATTTGTGCTAAAATAGGGGCAAATATAAAATAAAATGAGTTTCATGGGGAAATATGGTCACAGTGATCAGTTATGCAAGAATAGTTCTCCTTCACTCAAACTTAGATGTTCATTCTGTGTATATATGTGCATGTGCAAGCACGCACATGCACACACACATAAAAGCCTTGTCTAGCCAGGTGAGATGGTGCATGCCTGTAGTCTCAGTGACTCAGGAGGCTGAGGCAGGAGGATTGCAAGTTCAAAGCCAGCCTCAGCAATTTAGTGAGGGCATAAGCAACTTAGTGAGATTCTGTCTCAAAAATAAACGGGCTGATGATGTGGTTAATTGCCCCTGAGTTCAATCCCTGGTACCAAAAACAAAACCAAACCCTTGGTCTACTTGGGAAGTTTAGCAAGTTCCCTTCCCTGGATCAGGAGCATGGATTATAAAGTGGATCTGGGGAAAGGCAAGAGAGACCTTATTGCCTATATTCTATCTGGCCACCTTAGCAGGAACTTGCCAATACTGTAAGAAGTTATAAGTAAGATTAAGGTTTCTTCTACTCTTTGGTTCACAGACATTACCAGCAGAGTGTTGGACAAAACTGTGAAGGAGCTGATCCACAGGTGTCTGGGAAGGAAGGTTCTCATTGTCTTGAGGCACTTGGTAGCCTACTGCCTCTGGCAAGAAATGAGCAACATCACTAGGTTTTCTGAAGTTCTTTTTCTTGAAGAATGGCAATAGAATCCAAGATCTGGGTGCTGGTGCAAATACATTATATCTTGTGCATTTTTCTTACTTTACATTTCATGAGAAAAGAATGAAAATCCTGCTTGTACAATATAGCTCCACTCCTCTGAAACAGCTCTTGGTAACATAACACCGCTTTTGTTCACCTCCACGACTGTTTCATACTTCATGTACTGGTTAGGAATATGCCCTCTGTAGTCAGCTGGGCTTCATGTTCAACTCTACCAACTGTTTGCTGTGTGACTTGGTCAAAACATTTGAATTCTCTGGGCCTTATTTCACTTATCTGTTAAATGGCAAAAATACAATGCTCATCTCACGGAGTAAGAGTAGAGATGGAATAAGATGACCCTTGGAAAACAGCATAGAGCTGGCTCGGTAAAGTGCACCACTATAATTAAATGTCAGAAGACCAGTGTTCATTCCTTCCACTTCTCCCCCACTTCTCATGACTAAATCAGCCCAGCTGTTCCCCTAAAGGGGCTTTCTTCAGAGGTTACTGCCAAGTTTTTCATTTGGGACCATTTCCACATTCTCCAGGTCACACTTTTTTTGTTGTTGTTTTTGTTTTTTTAAGAGCAAAAAAGATTCAGTTGGTGAGTATCAACAATGACTTAAACACAACCTATGTTAATTTCAACAGAGAACTTCTGATTTTAATTTAGCAAGTGAAATAATGTTTCTCATATTTCATTTAAGTTCTGAGAGAAATCAGGGATTTTTTTTTTCTGTGAAAAACTAGACATTATGAAAAATAGTGTCTGGATGACAAATTATATGGCTTTTCTGGAGCCTGCTTCTGCCTTCAGAGATGAGGTAAACCGGGAGAGAGGGGACACTGTCTTTCTTGGGGTCAGTTTTTATTTCAGAATGCAAAAAAGAACTAATGCCAGATGGTAATAATTCCATTAAAGAGCATTCTTCCAGGGACTAATTTCCAAAATAAAACTGACAATTGTTTGTAATGAAATAAGTTCATTTCAAGCAGGAAACTAGTAGTATTTTTTTTATTGGTCTCTTAGATGATGGAGTGAATTTTGTGCAGTTTTATGTCTGATTCTCTCTGAAAACAATTTTCTGTGGGTCTACAAGGAATAATGTAGAACCTTATGAGTTGTTTAGAAACCAAATAATATTGGTCAAAGATAAAAGACGTGGTTGGTCAGCAAAGAAACAACCTTGTGACTCTTAGGTCATATGCATTAGGGAAAAGACCAAGGAGTGAAAATAGAGTGGTTTTTATCTTACTTCTCAGGACTTCCATAGCGTTCTCTAGTTAGGAACCATAAATTAACAGCCAAACACTTTTCTAATGTTCTTCAATGAAAATCTCATACTAGGTGCCAAAGGGCTATTTGCCAACCTGGTTCTATATTTTCTTTGTAAGTGTTCATTACTTTCTACAAATTCAAAATCATTACTTGGACATGAATCATAAGCCTAAATTTAATGTTTTAAGATAGAAAAAAAATCACCTTTTTCAAATGACCTGAAAATAAGTAATAAAAATCTAGTGTTTCTAAAGCTATTTTTTTTTCTGGAAAATTCTAGCATTTAATTAACCCAGAAGTCTCTAAAATTATATCTGGGTAGTATGTGGACTTCACAGTCAGCTAGCCTGAATTTGAATCCTGATCTGCCAGTTGTGAGATCCTGAGTAAAATAAAAATGTTATGAAGATAAAATAAGTTAATATATGTAAAGTGTTTAGGCCAGAGTTTGCTGAAAACTAGGATCTCAATAAATATTAGCACAATGAAGATTGCTAATATTATTATTGCCTGGATTGTAGCTACAAAGTCAATATTATAGAACAAAAGCACTTGCACACAAACAACTTCTCTTGAAAATGATGTTCAGGTTTAAAATTGTGATTCAAAAGATAAATTAACCTATACTGTTACTCAGCAGGAAAATGACTCTTTTTATCATAAGTCACAGAAACAGATTGTGCTCAGGTATTGGCCAAAGAGACAGGAAGAGAGAGAAACAGAGGGTCCCATGTGTCCCCAGCAAAGCTCAGGAGGGAGATCATATTAAGGTCCAGCCTGGGCTGAAGCAGTCAGCTGTAAACAAAGGATGTTGTGTGGTGGGTGGTTGCAAAGTTGGGATCTGGTTGCTTGCAAAGTTCTACTCCATCTCTTTTGGAGAATAAATGATTAGCTTGCTATCATTGTCTTAGTTCTGGGCATCGATGTGTATGCCTGTGTGTGTATGGTTAATCCTGGTAACTATTTTCTCAGATACCCAACTTTCCTATGCTTAGCTTTCTTATTTTCCATCACTATGAGGTCAGATTATCTTTCAGGCAAGTCTCTAAGAGGTTTTGGAGTAAGAGGATGCAGAACACAGCTATCTCCAGGAAGGGAGAGGAGTGTCACTAAGGAGTGCTCCTGCAATATGGCCACATGTTTGCACCCCCAAAGCTTCAGCTTGGCATTTGGAGGACGAGATGACAGACTAATCACAACAGCCACTGTTTATATGGCACTTATGACGCTGTTCACTTTGCTGGATTTACATGCACTGTCTCACATAATCCTCATGTCAACCCTCTCAAGTAGTATTATAATCTCCATTTTATGGATGACAAAAGAGAGGCTGAGTAAGGTTAAGTTGACCCAACCACGTGACACAAACAGTAAGACTCAGTCGAGACAGTCCCAGGCAATGTGACTGCAAGCTTTGAACCCTTGACCAGTTCCAGCGGCCTTCATTCAAAGGGTTTGTCTGAATTTATTCTCCTCTTACATCCCATTTCTCCAAACGTATGAGTCCTTCTTGAGGGTCAGCAGTGCTGAAAATTGTGAGAATGAGAACTTGCAGCACCTATCTGACCCAACACCCTCTCTCCACACTTTTATATTTTTAATTTCCATGTTTCCCAATGGGCTTACCTACTACCCATCTGTCTCCATGACTTACACATACAGAGACATAGCTAATTTACTCTTTGTGCTGGTAGATTAAAAAAAAAATGTCACTAGAAGTGAGCTTTGCAGCCACAGAAATATAACTGGGATGCCTTTAGAATTCAGGAGTTCCTGACCCACATATGAAACTAGGTATGAAAAGAAGTTGAAGGGTAGCCCCTCTTCTGTTCAAAGAAATGCCTTAATTACTGTGGGACAAAGGATCCTGCCCTGTGATTGAGCACATGGTCAGACTTGTGGACCACGTCTGCTATTTGTTATGTAGGCAAGGGACTTCAGCTTTCTGAGCACAACTTCTTCATCTGTAGAGTTTAGCCAAGCTTACCTTAAAATTCCATTGACACAATGAGACTCTCTGAACTCTATTACTGTTGAGATCTTGAACTTTCTATGATCACTTTTCTGGGTTTTCTGGGAGGACTTGCAGCAGGTTTTCTGGCAGGACTCTGGTAGCTCAGAGTCTGGGAGGAATCATACCCCACCCCTTCCTGCAGCCTGCATGAGCTACAGGGCCATGCTATGCTTATCCTTTCTTTCTTCAAAATAATTTTCACAGAGCTGGTGGCTGCCACATGAACAGGGGCTGGAGATTATCTCTGTCTTCATTTCAGTCAAATCAATGAAGCAGAGTTCTTCTGGCTTTTTGAGATCTGCTTGCCACATACTGTCCTGCACTGGACATTCTAATGTAGGGCTATGAATCAAGAATGGATTCCCAGGCAGAGGCAGGTGGTCATAGAAATAGTGCTTGCTGATCTGACTTCAGGGAATTCTATTAAACACCCCCTCCTCCTCTTGTGTGTGACCAGAAGTTCCTTTCAGAGAGGTAGTCTTTTGGGATAAGGAAACAATTATCGGTACTTAGGTATAAAGGTCTCAAAATGAGGATTTGATCGTGACTTTATAGGTTTCATAAAATAAATATTTGCATTTTTTTCACCCTTCTAAGAGTGCTTACAACAGGGTCTGGAAAATGGGCAGTGGAAGAGAATGTTCTTGGGATGTACATGAGAAAAGGATTAGGACAAGGGAATAAGCAGAAAATTGAAAATAAAAAGATTAATGAGAGTGATAGAATCATAGAAGAAATTTATCACTTGAAGGAAGCCCAGGGTACAGAAAAGGAGGGTAAAAAGAAAGCTGAGTCTAGGTCTCTGGGACTCAATCAAAGGGGCATTCCTGTAAGTATTTTAGGAAGCTGATATCTTTACATAACACCCCATCCTATATGAAGGCTTCTATAAAAGGATATCATATGAAATTCATTATTTAATCTAGCCAGAGATGATGTATTCTTTTTTTTTTTTGGAGGTGGGTATTGGGGATCAAACTCAGGGGCGCTCAACCACTGAGCGACATCCCCACCTCTATTTTGTATTTTTTTTAGAGACAGGGTCTCATTGAGTTGCTTAGTCCCTTGCTGTTGCTGAGGCTGGCTTTGAACTCATGATCCTCCTGTCTCAGCTTTCTGAGCTGCTGGGATTATAGGCGTGTAACACCGTGCCTGGCAGGGATGATGTATTCTTAAGAGAAGGATCTGAGGATGGAATTTAGTCAGATCTTACCATGAGAAGAAGGCATGCTTCTTCCAAGCAACTGTTTGATTTTTCTTACAAATACTTGTGAACTTTGTAATGAATCAGGATTCCCTTTTTCCTTTGGCCACTAAGAATCTTGAAACAAAATTCAGTCATTGTACAGACAATATAATGTACATTTTTGTATATTTTATTTTTCTTATCATTATTTTACTTCCCTTTAAAATCAAATATTCATATTTATTCTTACAAATGCCTAAAAATCTTTTGTGGAAGCAGCTGGATGGTCACATAGATACCTATATAGAGAGATGGGCAGATATTATAGGCATAGACTAAGGACTTAAATGGTGATGAGATGCTTCCTGTGCAGATGTGCTGCTCTGCAGATGGTCTTCTTTCTATGCATAGATTGCCACTAATGTCAGCAACTTGTCACTGAGAGGACATTCGAATGTTTTCTGAGCTGAGATAAATTCAAACAATAACAAAAATGGTATATGAGATCTGCAAGCTATTTAAACACTAGGGCAGTAACAGTTAATCTTGGAGCACTAGTCCCTCTGAGGGAACAAGCTAAGGAGGGAGGTCTGGAAGAAAGCCCAAAGGCCTTAGAAATCTGGAAATTAGATTTATCTCCTTAAAACATAATAGCATCAGAACTTCAAACACAAGATGTTCATTTTTGTATTGACAATCAATTTTAAGAATCTAGCACAACTCCAAAGAAATTACTTTCTAAAAACACGATCTGTCATTCCCAGTGAAAGTACATGCAAACCACACACACGCACACACACACACACACACACAGAGCAACGGCTTACAAACCCACATACACATGTATGTAGACTCCAGGATGATGGCAGGGTCATGAGTATTGATCACAAACAAAGCCTTTGATGGCAAAGATATCAAAGTTAGTAGACCTAATGATTTTGTGTAGCTTGACAGGGTTCTTCCCCAAGCCAGCCTTTGCCATTGAGGTTAGGCTTAACCATGAGTAAAAGACTTTGAAGAAAGGCAAGGGATGCCCAACCCACTGATTTCTGTGTTTCTTTTGGCTGTGGGTAAGCAGGTCTGGCTGGGCTGTAGTGTCCACTGATAAACAGTAAGAACAATTACGAAGCACCAAATCCCTTGAATGAGTAGGGCTAACTTTAAAACACCTCGTGGAGCAGTGTTTCTCAACTTCAGGGAATCTTGAACTCCTGACTTGGAATCATCCAGAGGTTGGGCAGAGCTGCTAAAAGTACTGGTTTTGGGGTATCACCCCAGCCTACCAAAGTATTTTTTAAATTAAAGATATCCATCCCAGCACCCTGTCCAAGGATTAAAAACCACTGCTACGGAAACTGTGAAAAGAATAAAAGATCATGTTTTTACTTCTGAAATTTAATTTGCTGAATTTAAAAAAATGGCAGGATAGCCCTAGTTTTTTTTTTTAAAGGAGTAACAGGTACCCTATTAATACTTATGTTTTTATGTATCAGTTAAAAATAAACTGAAGAAATGCTCAGTCCCCCCTTTGTCATATGAAAAACTTACTGCCATCGGGTTTTCTCCTTCAGGGAGTTTTTCCTAGAGCTGTCCCCTTCACTGGCACTGTCCTCCTCCTCTGTCTCCAGACTTCGACTGCAGCTTCTGATGATCTGAAAGATACTGTTGACGGTGGACTCCTTCTCCGAATTCTTTAAGCCATTTTGTCCCACTCGTTGCAAGAAATTATCTTGTCCACTGTAATCTGCTACGAACTACGGAAAAATATATGGAGAGTTTTCTATTGCAACTTAATATAATACGTCCGAATAACCTACTTGGCTAGGGAAAGGAAATCATAATAGCAATAAATAACAGCATTTGTGCCTATTTTATTGGAAAGAAAACAAGAACCTCCAGGAAAAACATTTTTTCATTTCACCACGTGAAATATCAAAACTCAAATTTGTTTCCACTGAGACAACTTTAGTCCCTGCAGGAGTCAACACTCCATTCGGATTTAAAACACAAAAAGCAATATTATTTCAGAGCTCCCTAGGGAGAAGGTTAGCCACTTTACAGAGGAAGGGCAGAGTTAGGGATAAAATACCCTTGTACGCAGCATCGAGGAACACCATGATGAAAGCATACCATGCTACAAAACCAGATGAAATGAAGGGGGTCCAAGGAAAACATTAAGAAATGGTGCCTTTTAACTTTATTATTCATACATCCACTGGTGGGACAGTGACCCCTGGGTGCTTTTTTTTTCCCCCTTCTTTGGTACTGGGGATTGAACTCAGGACTCAGTGGCACTGATCACAGAGCCACAGCCTCAGTCCTATTTTCTATTTTATTTAGAGACAGGATCTCACTGAGTTGCTTAGCGCCTCGTTTTTGCTGAGGCAGGCTTTGAACTCACGATCCTCCTGTCTCAGCCTCCCGAGCCGATAGGATTTCAGGTGTGCACAGCATCTGGCTCCCTGGGTGGTTTTAAAGCTCTTTTTTTTATAATATATATATATATATATTATAAAAAAAGATATATATATATATTTTATATAAAAAATATATATTTTATATAAAAAAGATATATATATTATATATATATATATATTATATATATATTATGAGAGAGAATTTTTAATATTTATTTTTTAGCTTTAGGCGGACACAACATCTTTGTTTGTATGTGGTGCTGAGGATTGAACCCAGGCCGCATGCATGCCAGGCGAGCGCGCTACTGCTTGAGCCACATCCCCAGCCCCGGTTTTAAAGCTCTTAATATCGGGCTGGGGATGTGGCTCAAGCACCACATACCAACAAAGATGTTGTGTCTGCCAATAACTAAAAAAATAAATAAATAAATATGTTAAAAAAAAAAAAGCTCTTAATATCTGTTTTCTGATGAGAAAGCTTCACTCATCAGAGGTGAGAGCTGCAGCTAGGCCCAGAGATGTGAGTTTCCCTCTTCCTAGGACAAGAGGGGCTGGTGTGGGTGTTGCTTGGCTCACTTTCAGCCTTCTTTATTTCTTGCACTTGTATCACAGGTGATAAACCTGAGAGCTGTCAGTCAGTGGCATTGCCTGTACCTGCTGGGATAGCTGGGGATGGTGGAGGGGTCTCAAGTCTTTCTGGTACCAGATGATGCCAGTATGAGGTTTTTAGCTGTCTTTCCACTCTTACTAGGCTGGGTGTGGATTATAGGTGGTGAATACTGGTACAATGGTGAGAATCACCCTGGATTTGGATTTGGGACTTCCAGATATGAGATTCTCAAAATCTCTGTAAAGTTCTTTAAAAAAAAAATCTTTTTAGTCCCTTCTTTCATTTTAAACACCCCAGAGGGAGATTTTCTTATCTTATTTTTCCAGTTGTTCAATGCCCTCTTTTCCAATGCCCAACACCCTGGGTCCAGGCTCACACTATCCTCTCCACTACAGGAACAGGAAACAGTGGGCCTGGGAGAAGCGTGGGCAGCAGGGACTGAACCCTGGAGCGCGTCTTTGGATGAGACACCAGCTTTCTGAGCATCTTCCCACGAAGCATGGAGAGAAGACAGTGTTGACTTGCCCCATTTTTTTCTCCCACTGGTTTGGAGAAGGTAACACTTTCCCTTGACCTTCTTTATCCCCTGACTCTAGGCATTCCCACCCAATAAGAAAAACCTGCTGCCTTTAAAATAAAAGCCAGAAATAACACCCTCTTCCACTGGTACTAAAACAGTGTCACATGAAACCTAGCCAACAATAAGGAGCCCCAAACAGTGCCGGTTGGCATTCTTTTCTCCAGCACTTCCTAGAACCTACCTGCTACCCAGAAACAACATAACAAGGACTACTGTGCACTCAATGTGATGTCTCCATGTGATAGTGAGTACCAACAGGGCTGATGGGACAAGCAGCGATAATGGCTCCAAAGAGCACACTGGCTCTGAAAGGCCTCACCTCTAAAGTCTCCTCTTGGGAATTGTACCGCGGGCAAAGCTTCATGAGGCCAGAGGCTCCATCAAGTACTTCACAGAGCTCCTTCAGAAACACCCCACAGAACGGAACCACCTTGCAGCCAGGGATGTGCAGCGCGCGGGTCACCACCTTTCTGTACTCGGAGGAGGACTCGTGCTGAGCCATGGCATCCTTCAGGCTCCTCATGGTCTCGATGTCAGACTGGTCCATGAATTGCCACATCTTTAAAACTTTTCTTGACCTATTACAAATAAATGACATTATTTAGACTGAAGGAGAAATAATGGGGCTTATGGCAGATATCCTAAATTCCATACAAATCCATTCTTGTCACCTTCTTCGTGTTCTTTACTTGTTAACATTTATTGAGGATTCCTATCTCCACCTACTTCCTGAAATGGTATGACTATTACTTTTGTAAATTGAAACTCAAAATGAAATAGGACAGATGCAAACAAGGACATGTTTACGGTGTGAGTTAATTATGGAAGCTGGGCCCTGGATATAAGTTTGAGCTTTTCTGATGGCTACTGCCAAAAGGGAAACATAGTGGGTTATACATAGTTTGTACAGATATTTGTGGAGAATGCCCACAGAAAACCTGCCCCACCTGTTCCTCTTGATCTGAGTCCCTTGATGGTATATATGAAACCTAATGTTTTGGGTCTCTTTGGAGAATTGCTTTTTACTGAATTGAGTTTGACATTAAGCCACCTGCCATTTGGCAGGGGAGGGGGAGATGGGGTGGGACTCCCGTCTTACAGCATTTTTTTGCCTTAAAAAGATTTTAATGAATTTTTTCTATATTTGAAATTGCGGATGAGATCCGCAGGTGACATTGCAGCCCGCTTTCTAAACAGAAGTGTCAGGTGGTCACAAGGGAGTGCCCACACTGCTGTGTCCTCAATGGTCTCATCCTCCTTCGGCCCACACAAAGAAACTGGATCTGAGCAGACAGGGAATACTTCTTTGGAGAGGGTTATGGGATGGCTCACGTGAGAAGGAGGAAAATGACCCCAAGAGTCAGGGACTTCAAGTGAACACCATGGACATGTAGACCTGTGTCCCAGGAAGTCTGTTCATCACATGGACCTGTGTGTGACTTTTGCCTCAAGATGAGAGGCTGGCTGGAGCTGCTGACAGCAAAGGGAGAGAGGAGGGTCCAGTGATGTCCTACATTCGCAGACTTGGGAGGGCAAAATAATGGGTGTCTCCTGTGAGTCCAGAGTGGACATTGTACAAAAAGGTTGGCCCTGAGCTGTCTTGAAAGACTTTCCTGCCATGTGAGATGACCCCAGCAAAAGGAGTCCAGCAGGTGGGACCTCCAGAGATAGACCCTGGAGAGTGGGGACTAGCCGAGTGGTTGCCCAGAAGGTGTACAGAATTTTTCCAGGTGAAGGAATAGTGGGGGGTCCCTACAGGACAAGGTGGGGGGTTAGAGGACTAAATAGGAGGAAACTCTAAACTCACCCATTTGGGTCTCTGTGAGGGCAGCAAGGACAAACCCAAACTGCTCCATTCCAGTAGGACCTTTTACCCCTCCTCTCCCTTTCTCTCTCCCTCTTCTGTTCTCTCCCCTCCTTTGATTCTGTAGGGACTCTGAGATGAAGGAAGAGGAAGGAAAAATATGAACCATATCTTGTCACCTACTTACTGCAAGTTTCTGAGAGTGGATGGGCTGTGAAATGTGGGGAAGGAAAGAAACTTTAAATGTATGAGAAGTTGCAACTTTAATTTCTATCAAACTGGATTTTAAAAAATCATCGTGATATATGAGACATCCAAAAGACAGAGAAGTATGTGACAGATACTCATACAACCTCCTCTGGGTTTAAAACCAACATCAACCATAAGGCTGAGGCCCCAGCAGACTCTTCCATGATCACACATCCCTCTCTTCCTCCAGGAGGGATCAGCACTGGGACTGGGACTCTGGTCTCTGGTGTTTTCATTCATTAGGATCATTTTTTTGTTGTTGTTCTGGGATTGAACCCAGGGATACTTTACCACTGAGTTACATTCCTAGTTCTTCTACTTTTTATTTCAGGACAGGGTCTTGCTAAGTTGCTGAGGCTGGCCTTGAACTTGCAACCCTCCTGCCTCAGCTTCCTAAATTGCTGGGATTACAAGTCTGTGCCACCTTAACAACCTTACAGCTCTTTATACTTTTCTAATACACATATATGTTGCTAAGCAAGTTACAAAATTGTGTATTTTTAACGTAACATACATAAATAGTATCACACTATAGGTAATCTTAGGCAACCTATTGTGTGTGTGTGTGTGTGTTTCTTTTTTAAATATTTATTTAGTTGTAGAAGAACACACAGTATCTTTATTTATTTTTATGTGGTGCTGAGGATTGAACCCAATGCCTTATACATGCGAGGCAAGCACTCTGCCACTGAGCCACAATCCCAGCCCCCATATGTGTGTGTTTTAACACAACCTTATATTTCTAAGAATCATACCTGTTCATGAGTGTGGAGAAAGAGACTGCTTATTAACCACAAGAGTGACTAGAAAAGCCACAGAATCTCCCAGGGTATAACCAGGGTCAGGGTAGGGACAGCCAGTTGGGCAGGTTTGAAAGGCAGAAAAATTGGAAAAATAAAATTGTTTTCTGATTTCACCCCACTAAGTCTAGCCGGTCCTACAACTGTTCTTATAAAACAGTGAGTTGTTTTTTTTTTTTAAAGAAATGAAGTAGAAGCATAAATAAATGGAGAAAATGAATGAATGAGAGGTGATTCTTCTATTTAATGATTACACACTGTGTTAATAATGGATTTGTCAGGGTACACTTGGAGTAAAGGACAAACTTCAGCAAAAATCAATTAGACGGAGAATTGGCACTATTTTAAAAATGTTTGTCTTTTTTTTTAATTATAAAAGTACTAGATGCTCATTGCAAAAACTAAACAAAATGAAACAAAAGATCACCAAAAATATAGAAAAATCACCTATTATTTTATCAAATACAGACACTACAAGGTATATTTCCTTTCAGTATTTATTCTATCTAACTGTCTCATTGTAGAAATAGTGTGAATATTATTAAATAGACAGCTTTGGTCTCAGAGAGTCTTAGTCATATGTTACCTGTTTCCCAGTGATATAAAGCTTTTTATAAGCATCGTTTTTTTAATCAGTCGTAAACATCACATTTGACAATTTATCTGGATCATCATATTATTTTCTTTGAGTATTTTCCTATTGTTGTTCATCTGGATTATTTTAAATTGACAGCACAACTGAGTGAATGTCTTTGATTATAAATCTCTGAATTTCTAATTGTTTCCTTAAAAGAGCTGAGAATTTAGAGGAAGCAAAATGTACAATGTTTATACAGACAATAACAGTCATTTAAAAACAAGGGTGTGCCTTCTTCCCATCCAGTTCTTAAAAAATAAAAAATGAAAAACCTCTAGTTATGCTGATGCAGTTAAATTATTTGGAATCCAAACACTCTCAAGCCTTTTGTACACATGAACCCTGCCTCCACCATCATTCCATCAAGAGAACATTCTGCAACTCATCTCCTACATCTATTGTTCCACGAAAGAGCCAATTATACCCAGCACATTTCCCATCTGTCCATAAAGATCAGTTTAGTGTTAACCCAAGTGTAGGAGAATGGGAGTAGGTGGCAGTGGGTTTGGGGTGTAAGACAAAATGCACAAGGATCAGTGAGGGGTAGCCTGGTTTGAGGTTATTCTTTGTCTACTGAGAATCTCCTGGCTGTAAGGCCTTCCTGGATTCCAAATGCAAACTAAGTTGGGTTGAAAAGTCAAATTCACTATAAGTCTCCAAGGGTCATTCTGAAGCTATTCTTGTATTTAGAGAAACCCAGCCTGTGGTCTCCAACAATCCACGCCTTCTGGTAGTATGCTTTGGGTGGTCCCCACCCACAGTGACTTAGTGCTGATCCTGGGTGGCAAGTACAGTGTGGCGGAAGTGACAGTGTGTCTTCTAAGGCGAGGACATAAAAGGCATAGCAGTTTGTGCCTTGACTCTGCAGTGCTCACTCTGGAGGGAGATCGAACTATGCTGGTGAGCACAGTCACGTCCAAGGGGAGAGGAAAGAGGAGGCGTGGTCTTCAGCCAATAGCCAGCTCCAGCTTGTCAGTGAACTATTTTTATCATAATATGATTATTTTTCTTAGTATAAGTGTAATACAGGTTCCTTTTTTTTTGGTACTGGGGACTAAACCCAGGGATACTTAATCACCAAGCCACATCCCCAGCACCCCCTTTTTAAAATTTTATTTAGAGACAGGGTCTTGCTAAGCTGCTTAGGGCCTCACTAAATTGCTGTCGCTGGCTTTGAACTTGCAATCCTACTGCCTAGCCTCCTGAGTCACTGGGATATATGCGTGCATAATACAGGTTCTTCAAAGAAAACTTTTCACAAAAAGAACCAGAATCATCTGGAAATAGCCATCTCTTATTCAAATATGTGTTCTGTTTTTTCCTTCTTTTGAGCCATGCCAGGTCCAACTGTATGGCTATTGTAAATTTCATTTCAAATGAGATGATCATTTGAGTTTACTCTTAGGTAAGAAAGTTCAAAAGACAAGAAAAGATTTCCCACTTGGAATTTTCATCTCCTTGCCCAACCTGGAATCTCTGTGTAGGGATCTGGAGAATCAAAGAAAGATCTTGATGTTGTAATGCTATAAGGCAAAATTTACTTATAGTGAGAATCTTCACAGGGATGGCAAATCTTGGGAGACTATTACAACATCACCACTGTCTCTTTATGAAGTTTTACTACATAGCAGGCACATCTACCTTTTGATATATCCCCATGTTTAGACAGAGAAACTGAGGCTCAGTGGGGTCAAGTGACTTGCCCAGATCACACAGCTATTCCTTGGGAAGTTGGGGGGCAGGCAGGAGTTGATTCCCTGTTACTAACTGGACAACTCATGTTCTCCTTCCTCAAACTCATGCTGCTTCCCACAGGAGGGCAAGCAGTTATTTTATGCAACATAGCCAAGACTGAAAGGGAAGAAGGTGGGAGACTTTACAATGAGATGGTGGTTTTATTACTAGTTTGATAGAGAAGGCACAGGAGCAGAATAGTTCAGTGGTCATGATCATGGGCTCTAAAATCCAGGATGCCTGCATGATGCCCCAGCCATGAATGACTTACCTTCTCTTTAGTTTCCTCTTTCGGTATAATAGGGAACAATAATACTTACTATCAATCTCAAAGAACAGTTTTGAGAATTACAAGATATAAAGAGTGGAATGTGCTTAGCTAGTCCAGTGTTTGACATCCCGTGAGTGCTCAATGATTATGAAAGAACCAACATTACTGGAAGCTTATTGTCAATATTAGCCATTGTTATTATTAAGGGTCAGTAGTAATCAGGAGTTTACAATGCTGGGGCAATTCAGGAAGAGCTGAAGGGAGAGGTGACAGTGAGGTTTATGGGCAGGAAGGGGAAGAGAGGGACCAGTGATAGAGTTAATGGGTAATGCAACCAGGTAATTTTACTTAGCCTGGCCAAAGCACATGGGATCAGACCACACACAGTGAAGTGGGATCACGTCTGGCCTACAGCGGCCAAATTCTGCAGCAACTTTGAAGGACAGGACTTGTGGTACTGGAAGGGAATAGTTAGTACACTCCCTAAAATGATCACTACCAACTGGTTTCATTGGGTAAGTGTGGCTGCCTGGGGAATTAATTCAGTGCTTTTGGCTAGTCAGAGGAAATAGTGCAGATTACCATATTCCTGCTGACTTACCTGAGGCCAGCCAAGAACTCCATGACAGCATTGTAGTTGCCCATGTTCCAGCAGCACTTGGCCACATGCACCAAATATGAGAAGACTTCCCGCTTTTCCTCCATGGAGCCTGCTGTGAGGATCAGCCATGTTACCCAGGAGCTCACCTGGAAGATGCAGGAGGGGCATTCACTGAAACTGTGTCCTGAAGCCAGATACACATTTTTTCCACAAGAAAACTTTCTGTTTTTTTTTAATTAAGTTAGTATTAATAAAGGAAGGACTTGACCTAGAGATCTGAAGTGAAAACCAAGCTCCATCACTGCTTTGAAACAGAAACTTGGTGAGTCATTAATGTCTCTGTGTTCATCTTCATCTTTAAGATAAAGAGACTGAAAAGGGCAATTGATAAGATCCCCTTTCAAAGTGCACTAGTGGTATAGTGCTGAGCATAGTTGCCTCCTATAAGATCCCTCTATACACTTCCATGACACTAAAAGAAAATAAGGCTTAAGGATAATTTTGATGGAAATATATTAGATGGACATCAAGACTAGATGTAATCAATGTGCTTAGCACTGATTAAAGATATTTATCAAGTAGTAAAATACATACTATCAAATGAAAAGAAGTTTAGAAAGCTATTTTTGGATAATTTATATATATGTACCATCTATTAAGTACTTCAAATGTCAAAATAAAGAGAATAAATATTCACAGAGCACTTTTTATGTGCCAGGAGCCATTGTAAGCGTTACCTATATTACCATAATTATCTTTCACATCAATCCTAGGAGTCAAGGACTATTCAGATCCTCAGACCTACTTAAAGGCCTCATCCAGCAGGTGGGAAGGGTTCGATGTGGACTCAGGGTGCCTGATTCAGAGTTATATTATTAACCCCAATAAATGCCCAATGTGTACACATGCACACTAACGTTCTCCAACTCTGGGATTAAACGTATTCTAATAGAATTTGTTTTTCCTACTACTACAGTATGGACTAAAAAATTTAGTAATAATTCTCATCTACTTACCTCTTTATGATATACACTCTTGAAATCATTTGCATTAGCTCTAAGATTATTTTATTTATAGTATTCTCCCTATACTTTGGTGTTTGGACACTAGTGTCCATCTAAGTTAATTTCTCCACCCTGGCTAACATTGGGGTTAATGAATTCAGTTGTTAATAGACTAAAACCTTGGTCTTGACCTCACATGGCCTCATTAGGTACACTTGAATCAGCAATAATCTGAAACCTAGGGAGCAATTCTTTTCCCCAGCCTGCATGATGGTGAGACCTGAACAGAGACTTCATGGTGACCCAGACGACTACAGATTGTTCAAGGTCAAGGGCATAATGTCCAAAAGTAGAGGAAAAAAACAGATAAGAATTAATGGCATTTAGCACTGGCAGCAACCATAGAGGGCAGTCGAACCCTATTTTTCCAGATCAAGTATATGGCTCACAGGAGAAGTGACTTTCTGAGGTCACCATTCTTGTTGATGTCAAAACTAGGACCCCCTAGTGCTCCTAACATGCCCCTCTGTTCCCCACCTGCTCTGGATCACACTGGCCCTCAGGCAACAGCAGATCAGATCTGGACTCAGACCTCTAGGAGAAGCCCCATCCAGGTCTCCCCAGGAGCCCTCTAGGATTCCCAGGGCTGACCCTTCTACAGCTATGAGCTATCCCTTACTCACGGTCTCCATGCCTCGTCTTCTCACCTGGTTAAAAGTCACTTTTGTGAAACTCTGACTCCATTAGGTTAAAAAGAAGTTATTTTGCTGATAGACACTGACTGTCATTGGTGCTACTGTTCAATTTTTCCTTTAGGTTGAATTGCTTTTGACAGGCCCTGCCCTACAGTGCGAAGTCACTTGGGATCATAACATTGTTAACTCTTTTGAGTTGAAAATTCAAACCCTTCTCCCTACAGATATATGTGAGATTCTAAAAAGTTACAATCATTCCTCAAAGTCATCCAAATGATTACTACTTGAGGCCTTTGGCTATATTCTTTCCATGGCCTTAGAGCCTTTTCTGTTGAAATTCATGGCAAATCAGGATCTCTGCAAAGCCACTGGTGTTTCAGGTCATTCTTGTACCATGCAGTGACCGGAAAGGGTTAACTCCCCTCCCCTGGAGAGGCCTGCTTGTAGTAGCGCAGGTGCAGAACACCACTTGGTTTTGGGTCTCCATCCTGATTATGTGTCCAGGTTTATTTCCTATCAGTCAAATCATTTTCCATACACTTTCCCACAATGCTAGGAAAAAAATAGCGATACTATATTTCACATGGAAACCTAATTTAAGCCAACTGTTCCATCGCTGAGTGTGAGTCCCAAGGGCCCCTGGCTGTTGAGATTATGTAAGCACTGTTATCATAAACACACACACACACACACACACACACACACACGCACGTACACCATCTGCTTACAAACTTCAGGGAAGATTCTTTCTATAGCCTAACATATTCATAATTTTAGAGGAACTAAGTGGTGAGAGTGTCATCAATGAGACAAAATATGAAAAAAATAAATAAGACAAACAAAAGAGAGAAGATTCAGTGACAAATGTCAATAGGATGCGTTGCCAATTCAGAAAGAATTTCAGGAATACTGGAGTCAAAAAGAAAAACACAAAAAATGTATCAAGTTAAAGGACCAAGTCTGTAGTATAGAGAGTGCCCCTTGCTGCTAACTGTGGCAGATTAATTACCTGGTTTCATTGGTCAGCTCAGAACAAGGAGAGAAATCAGGCCCCAGCCTCATTCTTCAAGAGCTCCTCCTAGAAGGCTCTGGCTTACCAGGATGATCCTAAACCCCTGGACCTGCTCCTAGCACCACAATTGCTCTTCTCCCAAAATAATTTTTTTCTTTTGCTTTTTTCAGTACTTTTAGGCTTAGCCAAACTGAGCACCTTGCTCTCTCTTATCACATCAAATACCTTATTAGCATCACTGTAGCTCAATTTGGAAGGAATGTTCTTGCACCACTCACACAGACCTTTCCTTTGAACTTGAGACCTTATGGGTCCATCGACTGGCACACAAGCCAGGATGGGAAGATAAGGTAGGTGGACAGGCTGGAGCCTCCTGTATACCTGTGCCCTGGCCCCGCTATAAGTAAGGGGCAAGGCAGCCTTCTGGAGTCTGACAAAAGCTTCACTTACTCAAGGAGAACTTCCTTGACTTTCCTTCTGGAATATGTCCTCAAGTTTGCATGCTGTGGTACCCCATGGCATTCTGAGCTCTGTGCCCAACTGGTGTTGTGCTCCCACGAAGACAAATGTCATCATAGACAGTGTGCTATGCTCACAGGTAGGCAGCAGTGTCTGCGACCCACCAAGATCTGTCCTCTATAAGTCTAATGAGGCCTGTGAATGAGGGAATGCATGATTAAATGCTGAATGCTTACCTCCTCAAGGAAGGCTTTTCTGATGGTTCACCTAGTACCTTACATTCAAATTTCTTCCTCTTCTCTTGGACTTAATGTCATAGCTTGAGTCCAAAGTTACATCGATGCTTGGATTCTCTCCACTGCATGAGTGTGCATCTGGCTTATTTTTGTTATATTTGTGTGCCTGACTCTTTCACATGGGCTTGTTCTGTCTCCCTCAGCAGACCCTAAGTTCTCAAGGACAGAGGCCACCTTTCCCACATTTCTAGTATGGGGATGCTCAGTGCCTCAGGCTGACAGGCAGGCCATCGGAATCCCAGGAGGCCATGGGCAGGGAGGATTCTCAGCCTCCAAGTACTCAGGAATTATATTTGGGACAAAGCCTGAACATTTCCTATTGCTGTTCCCAGGTCCAGAAAAAGGAGACAAATAACTTTATGCCAAAAAACGTGTTTTGAATACACTGAGCCTAAGTTTTCATGGAAAGATGATATTTTATAATGGTTATTGTCAGCCTAATTGCAAAGGTTAGGCTCAAATGGTAAATTCTATAAAAGATAATGAAGTCTAGACAAAGCTACATGCAAGTACTTTACATGAAGTGTACATCCACACCCTCCCTCTGTGGACCAAGTTAACCCTTGAACTAGAGCATGCAGGCACAGTCATGAATGTAACACAGTCATGAATGCAAGTATGTAACACGCACACACACACACACACATACACACACACACACACACACCTGTCTCGGCAATGCTCAAGTGTGAGCACTCACAATGGAATCACTGGGGATGGTCGTAAGGTGTTTATTTAAATGCAGATCCCAAAGCCTCACCTAGACCTGGGAGTCAGAGTGAGGACAGGGCCTAGGAATCTCCGTGTTCAGATAAACTCCCTGGTGATTCTTTTTTTTTTTTTTTTTTAGTTATACATAGATACGATATCATTATTGTGTTCATTTATTTTTTTATGTGGTGCTGAGGATTGAACACAGTGCCTCACATGTGTGAGGCAAGCGCTCTGCCACTGAGCCACAATCCCAGCCCCCTGGTGATTCTTAAATGCACTGAAATATGAGATCTAGCCCAGAGACTCTGTATCCCTTTTCTGTATCGTGGGTCCTTGAATCAGGGCCCACACACCATTTCTGGAGTCCATACAGTCCAATATTATAAATTGGCCACCCTGGTTTCATCTCACCAACTGGACCTGAGTCCAGAACCCTTTTGGAACTAGGAAGGGAAGCCAAGGGAGGCAGAAGAGTGTAGTCGGGAGGGAACAGGAGCAATGGAGTTGGGTGAACTGTGCTCAAGTCCCCGTTCCACTGTTCCCTTGGGCATGTTCCTGAGGCAAGTCACCTAACTGCTCTGAGCCTCAAGTCCTTTTCAGTAAAATGGGAATGATACTTACCTCAAAAAATTACAGTGAGAGTGAAATGGAAGATTATATCTGAAGATCTCAACACAGAGCTTAGTAGATGGTTAAAGGCTCCATGAACATTTACTACGGAGACTATGGCCACTGCCACCACCACTACTATGACTCTTGTTACCAGAACACAGAAATCCAGAAGAAAGCAGTCTCTGAATTCCACTTGCTTATGAGACAAGGCTGGACCAGCAGAATCTGTGACTGCCCTGAGCACTGTCCTTTCCTAATAGAAGGATAACTCACAGGTTACCTCTCCTGCAGGCTTCCCTGACTCCTCAGTAGGAATAAAATGTCATTTTAAAAGTTATAATGATCCAAACACAT